AATTCGAATTTGATTGTAGCCGCTTCTCAAATCTAGCTTGGTGAAGTACTTCGCTCCTTGAAGTTGATCAAACAAATCAGCCATACGAGGCAATGGATATTTGTTTTTCACCGTTTGCTGATTCAACCCTCGATAATCAATACATAGTCTCATGGATCCATCCCTCTTCTTCACAAAGGTGAAACACTTGGTTAAATGAATACCTTGCTCAACATCTACTCCACTTGAGCTTTGCATTCTTCCAATTCGTTTGGAGGCAAACGAAATGGAGCTTTGCAAGTTGGTGTTCTTCCAAGTATCACCTCAATCTTGTGATCTACTCGCCTCTTTGGTGGTAATCCTACAGGTAGATCATCTGGAAAAACATCTTTATACTCCATGAAAATGTCGTTCAAGGACTCCGGGATGTAAGGTTTGTCCGTGGACCCAATATCTCTTATAAGTCCAAAGAAACATACATCATCTCTAGAAATGGATGCTGTACCCATCACAAAGAGGGGTAAATTCCTATTCTGAGATCTAATTCTATCTCCATAGATTTTCCATCCACTACTTGTAATCACTTTTCTTCTCCAATCTACACTCGGATTATATTGTTCCATCCATGGCATTCCAAGGATGACATCATATCGAGCTAAACGAATTACTCTCCATTCAATGCTCTCCTGGTATCTATATATGGATAATTCTACACTCCGTGATAGTGTTTCTATCACTTCAGTTTGCCCGTTTGGCAATTCAACTTCTTCACTCACGTCCTTCATCAACATCAAACCTAACTTCATAGCAACACTCCTTGATAGAAAATTCTCAGTTGCTCCAAGATCAATTAAAACTCTCACCTTGTGTCCTTCCATGAAACCATTAGTGACAATGAGTTGAGCTTGCTTCTTACTACTTCCATGAGCTCCCAACCATTGCCTTCTTCCAACCTTGCCTTTTCTTCGCTTTGTAGAACCAGTAAGGCCGCGAGGCAAGATTACTGGTGATCTTCGTTTCCCAAAACTGCTTCCTCCATCTCTTCATACTCTATCCCCTCCATGTTGTTGAACGGTCGTCGCTGCATGGGCCGCCCTCCTTGTAAAGTTGGCATAATTTGACAAAACTTGGCAATGTGACCCATTCGTCCACATGCATACCATTGACGATTGTCACGAACTCCAGCTCCTCTTCGAACCATTCCGTTATTTGCATAACCTTCTTGCAAATTTGGAACTCCAGGTCGCCGAATCTCACCTCCAAATCTTGGTGGTGGTACTCTTGTTGGTGCAAAACCTTCTCTACGTCAAAGGTTTCCCAACTCCAACGGTGTTGGACCAGATGGATCTTGAAAATTGCTCACTGGTTCACCGTGTGTGACACCAAAAGCATCCGAAATTCGTTGAGCAATTGCAATTATTTTATTCACAGTAGATGGATTGCTTACCATCACCTCCTTTCGAATTTGATTCTTCAAGCCTCGTTTGAACACGTCCGAGGCTTCAGCTCCACTCATATCCATGATAGATACTTGAAGATCACAAAATTCTTTAATGTACTCATAAATACCTCCTTTCTGCTTTAGATCCCACAACTTCATTCTTGCCATTTGAAAAGAATCCACCGCTCGAAAATTTTGCAGAAGTCCTTCCTGCATTCCACTCCACGAAATGGTAGCACCTCGTTCTGAAAGCATTCTCTCCCATGTTGTGTACCATGTGAAAGTCTTATCTGTAAGATAAGATCTCATGAACATTCCTGCAATATAATCAGAAACATGAAAATGGGATAAATGAATATTCATCCTCATAATGCATCCCTCTAACACTCCCATTGCTCTACTCCCTTTGTAAGCTTCCACCTTACAGGATTTTCCCATTCGAAGCAAAAGATTTACTTGATCTTCAATCTCTTGAATATGTCTCTTATTTGCCTCTACTGCATTAATAGGAGTTGGTTCTGGCTTAACTTGGGAAGCTTGAACTTGAGGTTCAACTTCCATCTCTCCAACTCTCTCTCTCTCTACTTTTTCACTCTCCAATGCGAAGATTTTATCTTCCATGGCTTGTTGCTTTGTATGCCCATCTACTATCGCTTTTCTCAACTCCTTCATCTCCGCCATGATTGCATTGAGAACCTCACCCATATCAATTGATGTCCCCATGCTTTCTCACACTCCCTCTAATACAAAGTGAGTATAATCACTATGTGACCTCTCAACAAAGTAGTCACAAAAGGTGCAGGTGATTCTATCGAAGCTCTATAGTACTACTCTCTATAATTTCTCACAAGAAAATCTCTCCATATTATCTTCTGTCTATATACTGTTCTAATCTCTACATAAGTGCTGAATCGAACCGGGACAGGTGGTTCGCGATTCAAATTCATGAAACATTCAGTATAAAATGTATATAGTACAATCTCAAGTCTCCCCATAAGTAACTATTGGAAGAATCAGTAGCACTCTTGACTCCATCACTCTAGTCACAAAATCTGCATCCCAACAAGCCACAAGGTACATCCAAAAATGATGTTTCTCCATGCAACGAAGGTGAATATCGAATAGGTTAGGAATTGGCCAGTGCGGTACTGGATTCCAGTCAATCACGTCCATATCTCCAAAACCACAATTTCCCTCTTCCACCTCTCTCTACATGCAGATGAATGACCTCTGCCAGCCTCTATACACTCTCAAGACTACACTCCATCATCACTAAGTTGTTATTCCATGAAAGGTAATCCACACTCAAGGAAAGAGCAAGATCGCTCTGATACTATTGTAACACTAGGGTTTAAAGATAAGCTCACTCGAAGATAGAAACGTAAACTCTAAATATGAGAGATACCAACAATGGTTCTCCTCTCCCTTATATAGCTCTCACCAACAAGTACAAGGAGATAAGATCTAATCCCCACCATCCATCTCACTCCTAGTGGATAGATGACGTGGCGGATAACACTAACAAGCACACGGATCGCTGACGTGGCGCACCCAACTAACACACTAACTAACACACTCAATCCTTACGTACAAGCACACGGATTGCTAACGTGGCACTGTCAACTAACACATCCACTTTGTACCTACCAAGTGCGCGGATCGCTGACGTGGCAGCTATGACTAGTGCACACTAAAGTATCTATATCAATATTTAGAGTAACCTCTACTTTATTTCTAACTAACTAAAGATGGTTACATTCTCCTGTACACCGTGTCCATGACCAGCAAATCTTCATCCGGAAAAGTGTCATCCACTGATTGATCAAGTCCCTCATCATATGCTCTTGATAGCAAATTTGCATTAACACGGTTCTTGCCAGATATTTCTTCTATTGTAAAGTCAAACTCTACTAGTAGTACCTTCTATCTAGCTATCCTTATTTCAGCATTAAGCCTGTTGAAAATATATTTCAATGTCTTCTGATCAATCACAATAGTAATTCTTCCACCCAAAAGATAGTGTCAAAATTTTGTAAGTGAAAATATAACAGCTAAATTCTCTCTTTTAGTCATTGAAATTTTTTCTTTACTTGTATCATCTGTTTACTAGCATATACAATTGGAACATCATATTTTTCATCAACAAATTGACTCAAAGTGTATCATACAACAATATTTGATGCATCCGTATAAGGAATGAAAAAGAGAATCTATCACCCATCACGTTTTGCCAAAATTGGAGCAATCACTAACGTCTTCTTGAGTGATTCAAAATCCAACTTTGTCTCTTCATTGTTGAAGATGAGCTAATATTTCGTACCCTTTTTCATGTAACTCGTGAAGGCATGAGTTTTGTTAGAAAAGTACAAGTTGAACCTCCGATAGTAGACTATCATACCAAGGAATTGTCTCAATTTGATTAACGTCATCGAAAAGATAACTCCATAATCCTTGTGAGTTTCCCTAGATACAATCTTTTACTATTCTTGAAAATGATATGTTCTAACAATGAGATTTTTTCTCATCCAAAAATGCATTTTTTTGGATTAAGTGAAGTTTTGGTTTATTCTAAATGTTTGAGTATTTAAATCAAATGATCAAAATAATACTTCTTCTTTTATACATAAAAATTATCTATAAAATATTTCATAAATTTTCCAATAACATATTCAAATGTATTATTTATGAATCTTTGAAAAATAATTAAAATATTACATAGACCAAATGACATTATTCACATATTTGTCAAAGTAAAATATTTATGAACCAAATGTTATTTGATTAACAAACAACTTTACATATATGTACAAAGTAAATGTTAATTTTTTCCCCAAATTTGCATTCCTTCCTCAAACTACAGTTTAATATTTATAGTTCTCTTGTTATCTCTCTTAAAGTACCCCAATTATACTACACACAACTTTGTGTCTGCTAGAAATTTGAAGAATCTTTGTTGAAACCTGAATTTAACCACTTGTAACTACTTTTTGCTCCCAAGGCATACTCGTTGAAACTTGCTCGAAAATATTAACGAACGTTAGTAGAGGGTATGCTAGTTTCCATTTGTAGAGTTTCAAATCAAATGCTCGAGTAAACCTTCGGGGGGAGGGCTAGTTATCCCTCACTCTAGTATACTTCGGCACCATCAGTACTCAACTGTGAGACCTACGAGTTGATGGGCATCTTCTTTATTTAGATACAACATTGAACCTCAGTAAACCCTAAGTCAATCTCCCTTTCTCGCCCTCTCACTAACCTAGATACGGATCTCTTGTGACACCTATCATTTCAAAGATGTATATCTATTACACAATTCTCTCCATTTTAAAAGTGAAACGCTGTAAAGACCCTAAGCGCATGGTCCAAGTTGATTAAAATTACCTTTGGCTGCTACGACAATGAACAAGTTGTATGTTCCTGCCTTTGCTCACGAGTTCATCATTTGGTAATTGCACTAATTTCAAGTACAAAGCGTTTAATTGTAGTGAACATCAGTCTTTTTCGTGTCAAACGAAACCCAAAAAAAGTAAATTGTAAAGGGTAATACGAACGTGAATTACTTCTTTCGTAAAAATGTGTTCAAATTCACACAAGGTCCAAAACCTTCAGCTGTTGACATATCAATGTTTACCATATCGTGTAATCTTCAGATTTGTGTTCCATAAAGCCAATATAGACGAAGTCCCGAGAGTTTAGACCCCAGGCTCTGAGCTTGACCACCATTTCCCTCTGAAAACTTTCCCTACGAAATTTGAAGAAGCACACTAATGAATTTCCCGTTCTCGGCCTACGTTGGTGAAGAAATTGAACATGATACATTCGCCTCCGATGAGGACTCTTAATCTGGGGTACAAACATCGCAGTGGGCTCAGTCTGAGATATTGATAAACCCAATTGTGCACTGAGAGTCGTACATGACAAATGTCTCGCTTAGGATATTTCATCCAGTAATTTACATGTTGAAAAAAGACAATCAGTATCACAAGATTGCTTGAACAGCAGCAGTTGAGGAATAGAAATAGATCAGATGCTTTTCCCACAACTCTTACCACACGTATACAATAGATAAATGATCATCGAATACGGAGTAAGTGTGGATCGTTCGTGCGGCCCTTGACTTCGGAATAGGAAACCTTCTACGTCCAGGATATCCACACAAATCTCCCTATGCAAAACGACTGTTGGTCGGCTGGTGGGAATAACTCCCCACGATTCCTAGCCCCGTAGGTAAGGCCCCCCTTCTACTACCCGCAGTCAAAGTGCTAACAAAGCTCCACACTTTCTGCTTTGTTCCCAAAACCAACGCACTCTTGTGAGCCAGAGTGGGCATCACTTGTTCTAATCATTTCCTGCACAGAATTGGTCAACTCAACAAGTTCCCAAATCAATTTGAACGTACGTATCTTCAAAATTGGCGAAATATGCCTTTTATTTGGAGCTCTGCAGAAGCACAAGGAAGCTCTACAAAGTGGAAAGAATTTAAGGGTAAGTTACGAGCCAGTAACTCATAAGGCTTGGTTGACCTCAGTCAAGGGTCCTCTGGAGGAGGTGTCATGGCAGCCGAAAGCTCGAGCTGAGATATTCGCACTGCACCAATCAAATGTTCGGGTAGCTCTTCTGTGCTATTACCCTGCCCAAAAGCACCGAAAATTAAAATGCCAGTGTCAGCCCATAAGATAACAGACTCTACTCAAGACAGTTGTTTCTATGGAGTGGATCGAACCGTCCTATATAAAAGAATCTCCCCAATATCAAAAAAATCCAGCCGAGTAATGTCTTAGTAACTTCGTGCAATTACGAACAAAACAAAGGGCACACCTGAACAAGGAAGGCCATGTCCACAACCAACGAAGTCACAACGCCAAAAACTAGTCCCAGCACACCATTCGCAACGGTGGACGAGCCAATGTCCACATCTACCTGTAAGATACCAACATAAGTAACAGATCTTCCAACTATCCAACAGAATACCAACAGATCCCCTTCAAATCAGCGTATAGTAAAAGCACGCCCCCTTGACAAGTGATTACATGCAGAACACATTTCAGAAGGCAAAGTCCACGTGTGCGAGTATATACGTCTGTATGATAACCAGTAATCAGACAACTCTTTAAACCACGAATCAAAGCAGCTCATATTTACCTCGAGATACTGTGGACCACGATAGTAAGTACAATCTACAGCTTTTCCCAAAATGCACGGGGTGCTACCAACGCTCTGTCTGACTATCCAAGACCCCTGTAATAACGACAGGTGAAAATTAGCTTGAAAATCGTTTATGTCACTGCATGTGAAAAGTAAATAATGCTCCAATCCAAAGCGTAGAATCACACCTTTGGGACCGAAGGAATGAGCTTGAGGCGGCTATTCCGATAGCTATCGTCACCTTCGACAAACCGATGAACTAAAGAACCCCGAACAATTGGCTTAACGGCCACAAAATAGAAAACCATACTGTAATGAGCTGACCCTGGGACCTGCATCAGAGCCACGGCAAAAAATTCATGGTCGCTAATGCCCAGTCACTGAAAGGGGCTAATAAAGCATCGTCTGATATGCACAAATATAAGGAAAAAGCTAAAATAAAAACCTGCACGTTGAACGCGATGGTGAAGAGGCCTTTCTCCGCTGCTGCCTGGAAGAAAACAGCTTTTAGAACTGCTATTTTAGAGTAACTTAACCAACACACTACAAGTTCATCGAGTCGAAGTTTAAACGGAAGTTCACATATTTCTACTTGCAGACCTTTATTGCACTAACCCTCCTCAGAAAGAGATTCACCAGTTTAGCTCTTCTCAGATCCATGATTCTACGAATAAAACATCAGCATAGACATAACGAAGTCATGAGGGAGTTTCCTACTCTCCTCACATGAAGCAACGCCCCTGGAACCCAACAGTTAAACCATAGTGGCTATCCCTGAAAGAAGAGAACGATGCCTACGTGCGACATAGCGTGTGTTACCTGTGCAGGAGAACCTTTTCGTCGAGCTAGGTGATCCATACGTTTCGAATCTTTGAACCAATCCACGGCAAGAAGCTCCATCAGAGGTTCACCTGCTGGACACTGCTAAACGATACGCAACCAATTAGACATACGACTTGCCAGTTTCTAATCTTCAAAAGCCCTTAAAACCAGAAAATCAAAATCATCAATTTCACAAAGTACAGTTAGATAAAGATACAAATATATCTTTCTCGGCAATCCCGGGAGGCAAGAAGTCAAGTAGGCAACGATAGGATCACCTTTGACCTATCTACAAGGAATCGCTTGCTGCGGACGCGGAAAAGGGTGCTACTGGGGATGCTCCAACAATTTCGACCGGTCTCGACATGACCCTTCTGCAGTGTTCCACGCACTGTTGATAGATCTAAACGGACTGAGGGTTGCGATGAAGGCTCCTCGTCAGGTGTACGAACTGCAACGAGAGACATGGTTCAGGCACCATGCATTAACGGCTATAACTAAGAACAATACCTGAAGTGGAGCAATCTAGACACGGAATGCATAACAATAACAGACTCAAAGGTCAGATCGAATCGACGGAGTTCGTAATGACCATTGAGATATAAAACCTCTTCCATCCAATCCGCGTAAAGTGAAAACATAAAGCATAAGCTGCTTCTAAATTAATCGACAAAACAACGAGTTGGTTGTCTCCACGAGACGTTGGGCTCCCTTCAGAGGTCCAGGAACGAAAAGCACACCTGAGACTTCGTTTGGCTTGGCTTGGGCAGCATTGAAGAGCTGCCACAGGGTTCAATTGGAAAGTCGTGAGAATGGTGTACAATATTTGGAGGAAGTTTTAGAGCATGATAATCTATACAACGATAAAACCCGTAAATTGACACCTACTTACCTCGTCAGTGATTTGCGGTACGGGATCATCGTCGTCGTCTTCAGTGTCATCGAGCATGCCGTCCATTATTCTATCAGCACTGTCAGAAATTGCGTCCATGGAAACACTGGCGGGAATAGCAGACCGTTTCCTGCCTTTCCTTGGTTCAATAATTTCTGGGGTCATTTTCACTACTCTCTGCATAGGAGGAGGTACTTGACCTTCCGAGAACCATTCTCTTAGGCCTGCAGTAAATAGGTGAAACCAGTTGTCAATACACAATATATATAAACAGTCATATGGCTCGTCCAAAACCTTGTGATTTGAATTACAGCCTGCATCACCTACACGATTTGCTTTGAACAGAAGGGTCTCTCATTCGGAAAGAAGCATATTATCAAACTCCTCTCCTATTCTAATAGCAGCTTTCAGAGACGGCAGACGGACATGGATGTCGAAAGAAACGAAGAGGCAATCAATACTGCTGTTAGGTACCTACAGCTCAAAGCTTACCCTTGGCTTTGACTTCGATTCTGGTGTTACCAGCTAAAACCATGTATATCTTAGTCTACGTGGCCCATTATTTGAGAAAGTTTCAAGACTTCAGAAACACATGTCACGACAAATGACCTTCGTTTGAAATTTCATGAAAAGCTAGGCACTAACTCCCGTTTGACTTGAAATCTAGCACCCCAAATACCTAAGCAGCTCATTGCTCATACTCGGCTTTTGACTTGATATTTGGTATATCACTCTACGCAAGAAATCTCTTCAGTCCAGAAGCCCGTTATTTGGGACAGTTTCGAGTCAATACAGATTGCATGGCTGCGAATATTGATTTGTCAAAAAAAAATTACGAAAAACTTTCTTCAAAATAGAACATCTCAAAGTCAAGGCTCTTACCAGCTATACTGTTTAGCATTTGTATCACAGTATGTTGATGACAGAAAGGGAGAAGACCGATGCCCCAACCCTTCAAATCAATTTGTACTAATTGCTGCACTCGCGATCTAGGTTCCCCAGATCCGGGTCGAGGTTTAAGGGGTGATATAGTGTAGCCTCCACCTACAAAGTCATCAAAGCACAAACCAAGGATTCAAAGGCCTCTTAGTCCGAAAAAGTACGATCGATTACTTTGTTCAGAAAAACATCTATTCGTATTACACAGCAGCCCATAAACATTATCATACATTGTAGCTGGAAAATATTATAACGCAAACTTGCAGTCCACAGACAAATCACACAAGGACTCAGTAAGCCAAGAACATACTTTCCATATGTGCACGGACGCAACCAGGCTGCTCAGGACAGCTCTTATGCTCCCTGGAAACAAACAAAATTACTGCGCAATCAAACAAAGCAGAACCGTTGCTAGTTAATCTGCCACTTCAATAAAAATGTTGCTGCATCTTGCTTCATTGTATATATATTATGAGACTGTCCATCTATATCAAAAGCTACTGAATTTATGCTTATATGTCAGAAACAACAAGGACAAAATATACAAAAGCCTCGCCTTGGCGACGGGTCTCAGGCTCCTAAACAACCGTACCATAACTCCCATCATCATTACGCCGCCAGTAACGCGAGTAGCAGAGGTCGCGAGGCCAAATGAATCTGCACAAGAAACAACATGTTCCAAGTTTTGCAGGCAAAAACACATTAGCGGCAAATAACATAGACGTTACGGTTGTTGCCAAATACAGCATGAACGAAAAAACTAAAATCGGATATAATGTGAGAATTGATCAACTCAAACATTTAGACCAGAGTACAAAATGTCAAATGTCAAATGAGAGTGCCTCTCATTTGACACTGTGAACTGTTATTACAGGAATCAAAATATCATCATGTGCAATAGTAAAAACACAACTACATCTAGACAGGCTGTGAATATTGTGAACATTCTAGATCAGTGGTCTTTACGAGAAACAGCTCAAGAGAAATCATGAATTAAAACCAGAAAATAAGGTCATGGTAAAATATGGTGTCGTGCTACCAAACCCACAAATTCGACCTTCGGAAGGTCCTCCTAGTTAAATATAAGTCAAACTCGCTCGAAAGTTGCTTCCCTTACTGTGAGTCCTGTCTTCTTAATGACATTTCCCTAGTTCTTAAGTTTCTAATCCCGTCTGTTTTGTCCTGTGTTCTACACAGATAAGGTCTCTAGTGGATTTAGTAAAATCCATCTCTCTTGTGACTAAGTTCTTCTCCGGGCCTTTGTGCAGCTTGATGAAGAGGCTGATCAGGGCGGTAATGGTCAACGTACGTAACGAACGGTCTTACTTCGGGCAAGCTACTGCTTAAAGGCAGCGCCTACATATAAATTGAGCAGTGCCTGTCTCAGAGTGCTCGAATTGGAAGTCTGAAGGCTCTCCCCAGATTTCAGAATGCCGTTCACTACCAACCCTACTCAGATACACCTCCCATCACATACGTGTACACCCGACTCCCGACAAACCTGGGCATACTACTTGTCTCCAGAAATATACCCAAGCTTTACGTCCTCATCTTGGAGCAAGCATCTCTGTCCATTACATCATACTATCTACCATGTGTGTTGCTCTTCCCGTTGAATTCTTCACTGAACTAGGTGACTCGGATGGTGAGCGAAGGTTCCCGCCAATTCAATGTGATTGTCTAGGATAGATGGGGTGAACAACTGACCTCCCACAGAGATATGATCTTTCGTGCACGTAGACTAACTTGAAATGGAGGGCTTTGATCGCTAGCAGTAAAATTTAGGCAGAGCGAACGTCTCCTCATAAGAAACAAAAAACCATCACCTCTAACCCGTTCTTAATTACAAACCATCCCTGATACTGATAATATTGGGTAAAGGAGGAAAGCTCATCGGCTTCCACATGATGCAGTCACTGGTCTCAACGTAACAACGTGAATATTTTCCGTGACGATTCAACGAAGCAGCTGCAAGTCGATGAAATGCTACCCAAGATTCATGTGGGTCAGGAATCTTGAGAACAACCGCCGGGTTAGATTCCACGCTTCCCGAACTACACACTGAAAGGTAGGATGTATCTTGCAGACACCCCTAGTGACTGCGCCCCGAAGGACGTGGAACTTCCCACCCGGGACCATCTGATCGGTAGGTGCAAGTTCATTGACACTGGATTCCCTTGCGCAAACAAAATTTGGATCAGAGTGAAGGTAATGCACTAAACACGACCTTTTCAGAGGCTGTTTTTAATGCCAATCATTAGCACAGCTGTCTCTGGTGGATAAAGCGTTTCACAACTCGAAAGCAGGTTGTCTAGGACATCATTTCAAAAGTGATGTGGTCACCACAAGAAAGATGATATTGTGATCTTTGACTACTCTACAGTCTACTAAAGGACAGACAGAACAAGGAGTACGAAAAGACCCCGGCTCCATAAGGTACTCTATAAGCTGTCAATTATGAAAAAAGTGCAGAGTTTTGTAGATCTGGTCACACTTTCAAGTACGGTCGAAATTGGGGGTGAAGCTGTTCTCTTACCCGACCAGGAATAGAGCACCCAGCAACTGGCGGTTGGGGATCTTCGAGACGTAACAGCAAGTAGGCATATACATAGATATAAATATACAAAATAGCAAGGTAGAGCGTAAGTACTCCATACGAGCGGCGGGGATATAACAGAAAGAAAAACGTGTGTCAATCAAGGTTCCAGTTGTACCTGCAGGTTAGTAACAAAACTTGCTTCGCATAGAGAATGGATATGCAACCTACTTGCATGCAGCCCGAGAAATCGGATTCCGATGTCTGTAGTTGAGAGCAAACGCCAAACAAGAGGCAGATAACAATCCATAAAAGACGAGATCAGAATGAAAAAATTGTGGAACTGGAAGAGAAGTATTAGCAGGTACCGCGAAGGTACCCAGAAGGGATATGCAAGCTTGGATTCTATGGATACGGAATAGAACTCCAGAAGCTTTAGTCAATGTGGAAAGTGAGGGATTAGCAAATAGCTCCCGCAAGTAATATAATTAACTTGGAAGCATTTCACACATTGCTCGAGGGTTCTACATCGACCAAGTGTTCAAGCTGAGAGCGACAGGTAAGAACTGCTGCCGAGGTCCGTACATGATATAGAACTTATTCCTTGTGGAAGGGTTAAACAGTCATCCAAGAACTCATGGGACTCATCAACAAAAAAAGAATCAGGTACAAAGTGTTTGTAGAGGCGCAATCTATTGAAGTGGTGAAGGAGGTCTTCGGCATGTGCAATCTCCCGAACTCCCTCGTTTCTCTCCTAAGAAGGTGATATTGCTCACTCGTTATTAAGTATGATTGTGCCTCTACACACGCTTTGAACACGGCCCTCGTTTTGTCAATGAGGGCATTTCGCTAAAGTTTTACTCAGACCATTAATTCAGAGAATAAACTTGCGACAGTCCGAAGTGGACCGTTAGATTCTATGTTAAGGTTAGGAATATTTAAAAGGGCAAAGGGATACTTACGTTGGAAACCAATCTAGTTCCAAACGGTGATGATAAATAGCAGTGTGTCCATCGACTTCCTCGACCAGACTCCCATGATGAAAGCTGGCATCCCATCTGCAAGTTGCCGAAGCTATAACACATCATTCAGAAATTCTCAGGTGGCACGTGCGCGCGTCCCTCCGTACGTATTCTAAACCTGTTGTTTATAAAAGACAACTACAATGTTGTAAAGCAAAACCAAATACTAAACGTAAGAGCCTGTCTAGGTGCGTTGCGGTTATGTCTCTTTCCTCAAACACTGCTCAAGCCAAGATAGGACATCAAAGCTTCTCATGAGTGCAAACGAACATTCAGAGCAACAATTTCAGTGATTGTTGACAAGGATAAAAAATTTCTCATCTTTCTACTGTATAACCATTAAGGAAGGATGACGCGACCACCGAGGTTATGACACATTGTGGGTTTGATTCAGATTATTGTGATATTTAAACATGCAAGTTATTTCACAGAAGGCCACGGACGAACTAGGTGTCCAAGTTGACGTCGATTAGCCAAGGTCTACACCTACAGATTCAAGCGCTCGTTCACAGACGAGCAAAACTAAGAAAGCCATATCTGGACTAGCTCAATCTATCCACATCCCTGTTACTCCAGGAGCCACAGTAACCTCGCCGACGAAGCAGCAACATAGAACTCCCCTACTCCCATCATGAAATCCATCAATTTTGATCGCAAATCACAGAACAATTTCACGTTTTACGACAACATCCGCAACTCTCTATAACACGGCCACTGAATCTCAACATTCAAGTCTGATTTAGTAAACTACAGTTGTTGCATATACTTGAAGTGACATTCACTATGACGTCTTCAATACAAGTACTTAAAGAAATATGAAAGAAGAAGAGCCTTACTCATAGCGCGTCTCATCCATATTCATAATCAGCTCAAAAATGTCGTTACACGATGCCTCTACAACTCCAACAGCTTTCATTTCCTTGTAGCGACTCTGTACAATCGAACAGTCACGGCATAATTCAGAAGCACTTCAGCGAGTATCCGCAGACTATACAGCCGATAACAACAGAATCAGCACCACAATGATGTTCAGGTCAGAAAGAACCAGAATTTTGCTTAAAGCTGCGGACCAAGTCAAACTATTGAAGAAGTAAGATTACTTACAGTCGGAATGCCATCAGGAATCTCCTCAAAAAATCGCAAGCCTGAAATATCATGAAGCAGCACTTTAGTACACTAGTGTAACCACGTTCGAACATCAAAGACCCGAGTGTACATTGTCGTGATTTAGCTTCACCGGTCAATATCTACCTCCTTACCATTTTGGCATCTAACCAATCGCCAAAATTTCCTCGCTCCATGCGCACGTTCTGATTTCCTATTTTCAGCTGAAGTGCTCCAGTCGTGTACTGCATCGGGGAGCCCTAGAAGATGGGAATGCGATGTTGGTCAAGTACGATATAAAACACATCATGGTTGAGAATAGGAACAAATGTACTCCTACAAATGAGTCTAAACACAGAGATCATGCCCTAGAACGCCTCAAAGATCTATCACCAGACTACTATACCTTTGGCCCCCTTCCGTAGTCTGGACTTTTTGTCGTTTTCGTCGTCATCATCTTGTCCCGTACCCCTGGAAAATGACGGTACATTCGCATTAGCACTACTGATCAGCATTGGTATGAAGCAGACAACGGTCTCGAACCGGAAGCATGACGTTGACCTATTGTACACATGTCCGCAGCGCAGTGTATATCAGCTCATTACCCGATCTGCTGTTCTCACAGAAAGATCGGGGAGGGGAGCTGAAAACATCTGAAACTGACGCAATATTCCAAAAATGTTGACATCATTAATTATGAAAATTCTCACTAGCTTTACTTAAAACTGCAGTCCGATCGAAGTTAAGAGTACCTTTCACAACTGGATACGCTTGACCTAGAAAGAAATCCTCGATGATCTGGGCAAAACATACAACACAATAAACTTACTGACTATCCCGATCAGATGATGATGCTGTCCTCTCAGTCTCGAAGTTGTTGCTCTTGGGTTGAGTGTCAGACTGCCCTCCAATCCTCAAGCTTCCGGTGTTCACCTAATATCAAGGAAGCCACCGACACTTGGAACTGAGATGCGTTGAACTACAGTGAACAAAAGTGATGCGCAAGCAAGAACCCTGATGTCAATGGTGGGAACCACCAACAAGAGTATCTAACTGAACCCCAATGAAATCTTAACAATCCATACGACCAATTTTGACACAATTACACGTAGCATTGAAAGGCCGATCTAAACGGAATGGACTCAATCGATTTCTCAGAGGGCCATCTAACACGGCAACCAGGCGGAATTATGTTTGTAAGGAACATTTTCTTTCTAGTGTGGTGTAAGCGGAACTTGCTATGGAGGTATATGGAAAATATTATGCGGCGCAGCTTAATTGGTTTACATCTTTGTCAGCTATAGACTCTTGAAAATTGTCAACCCAGAAAATCGCCATTAGATTTTCTTTGGTCAGACAGTAAGTTTTGACTTCTGTCTAGAGATGCTCTTCTGCACCAGGTAGATCACTTGAGAGAAGCTGAAGAGCTTCGCTATATTCATAGGACTCCAAAGCTTGACACTCAAAATGCCCTCGTGAATAATGGACAACTCAAATTCAGACCACATTTACATTATGGCCGAACAAGAACGAACATTGGCTGCATCGAAATGATCCCTCACCTATACTAATATTTCACGAGAAAGAATCGCAGATGCGTTGAGATACGACACTCGAATTGACAATCTCAAAAGAATATCACAGGAGAGACAAATTCCTTTTAGATCGAAATCAAGTCAAACACAACAAATCGCTCACCTGATCAATAACCTGCTCAAGAACTTCTTTCCATGCTGATTGTTCTTGAATTGTTGGTGCGGCCATCTGATAATTATCAAAGCAAAGGAGCCAGAAGAAACAAACAAGCAGCTCCTGAGAACAAGATGAAAGTAAAGGAAGAAGCAACCAAGAATTTCCAACATGAGCATGAGATTAATTTCCTCGGCGTTGCTAGCTACAGAGCTCATCGATTTTACCGTGATGCGATGGGCGCGTTCTTTCTTGTTGAAAACAGACAGGACATAGACCGCCTGTAAAAAACAGAACAGAATGTAGAGACAACGAGAGTATAATCAAAACATTCGTCATGAAAGTGAGAATGGTGTTAAGTTTGCACCGGCGCATCTAAAGCACTCTATATATCAGTCATATCGCACTTGAACGACAACTTCTGATATTGACAGTTTAGTCGACCAGCATTCAACCTTCAGTATCACTCTGTTTCAGTCGTTTCTCTTGTTCTGTACACTATACACATCTGAGAACTAAGCAAAGGCTGACGAATGTCACAAGATTCACTTCAGGTTTCTTTCGTTTTCATAGAGCAACCCTCAAGGAACTTCTGACGTGCATTCGTAGAACATAGCTGACTACTATGATTAAATGTGTAATAGTTTCTGAAGTAATCAGATCTTGACTAATTCCGTAAACTTCTAAATACTTGTAATCATCCACTACAATGTTTTCCATGTTTCGACCAAGGTAATCAAACTCACATGCCCATGGTGAGTCTCGAGTCCTCTGTCTTCGACTCGGCAATTGCCATCGATATTGAGGGACTTTAAAGGGACCTGCAAAAGAGAAAAGAAAGCAAATTATTAGACACTATGTCGGATCCAAAAACACACAAGCGCACTGTATCCACCAAAGTTAGGCATGGGACCCACGTTAGCCTCTAAGTGACATGTGAAAAACCCGACGTTTCCAAAATCAGGAGTGTTTAGATGATGTCTCTCACAGGGGGCGGGGTGGTCAGAGTGAAATTTCATCTTCGCCGAACATGCGAGAATCCTACCGCTAAGGTAACTAATGCTATCCTGCTATGCGGAAATATAAAACTACATCCATTCATGTACATAACAAGTAACCAAACTGTTAGTAAGTTCATCGCCAAAATTGCACCTTCCTTACGCCTTACGCCTCTAATAAATTTTCAAGCTCAGAATGAAGAGGGGAAGTCTTTCGAGATTGAGAAAAGTCATGAGGCATGTCACGAAAATGACCTAGGTGGAACCAAAGCAAGGGCAGATCATAGCAGCAAGATTCACCTGCGGTCGCCCGTTCTCAAAAGGCTTGCGCTTGTAATAGGCAAGAACTTGAGACTCCAATACGAAGTACCGCTTGTGAAAAAAGGAACGGCCGATCCTTCGGCGTCCATACCTGTGCATCCATCCCTCCATTATTGGTATCGTCATGTCCCTCTCCTGCTTTAACCTTCATAGGGGAGAAAGGAGGGAAAATTTGTCCGCAGGAGCTTCATCCTCCTGCAATTGCTTAAAGCTACAGCACCTGCTGAGACTGATCATGCTGCTTGCCCTAAACCGAGCGCGCCTTTCGATTGCCAAAATGTTTTGAGTACACTCACTAAGTTCAGAACTACTACGACGAAGTGGTTCTCCGCCCTGAAAACTCGCACAGACCTCTTTGTCCGATATGGATCCAATATCAGGTGTTCAACCAGAACGCGAGGTCTTTAAATCATCATCTGCGGTAAGTCACAGCCCAAAGTCGGACTGCAACTCGTTATTTCCTGAGATATGTTTCAGGAGCAGATACTCGAATTGTCATCATCAGCTGCACGCGTGCTCTTTCCTCGCATGGTCCACACCGCAGACCACAACCACAATCTCCAATCTGGAAATCTAGAACTCAAAGCGTCACTGCTACAGAATTCCGTAAAGCGGTTAAAAGTCCCAGATCGAAAGGCATTGACGAGTGGCCGGAGCACTCAAGTTACCAGGCAGAAGACCTACGAGTCAGAACGACCAATCTCCCAAACGAAGAAATAATTGACTGTATCTCAGTTTGAATCTGTCCTTCCTTCCAGCCCTTGCCTCAGCCTCGGGTAGAAACACAGGTCAACAAGATGCGCAAATAATGAGTGGGAACGACAACAGCTGCCAATTCGCTATCCATGCACCGCAACCGATAAACCAGACCTCGATACGCCAGACCACAAAATCTCCAACACAAACTTTACTCCATCTCTCTCAGTCCGCCAATGTTCCTGCCGTCCGGCTGTCCTCTGCATTCATTCACCTCTGCCTGGCACCCATCCAGGCCTCTCCACGCCTCGCCTCGTCTCCCTGGCCTCAACCCTGCACGCCTCGCCACGCTCGCTCCTTCTCACCCCGACCGCGCAATCGGCGACCTCATCGAGACAATCATCCCTGAGCGCACACAACATTCACCATTTCAACAGCATTACCAGAGCAAACCCGCCAGCGACTGAGGCACCGCCCATTGCGCGTTTAGAAACACCCTCCCCCCTCCCCCTCCCCCTCCCCGCCCTCGCTCCCTCACTCAAATCTCTTCTGCATCCGTCGCAGAGACACACACCTCCCCTCCCCTCCCCTCCCCCTCCCTTCCCTTCCCTTCCCTTCACCGGCCAGGCCCGCCCCACAACTCACTCATTACCTTCCGAGGTTCTAAAAGTACCTCATACTAGACAGGATGGTAACTCTGGTTGGCATCGACTTGAGTTCAGTCTTCACCGTGAGGATAGTGGCGTAGCAAGACGGGCATAACCAGTCGAAGAAAAGGTCTTACCTCTCTCCCTCTCTCTGCCTACAGGGCATCAAGCTCATCAACCACGTAACCAGAGCATTCGCATTGGGGGGATGGTAATAATGAGACTGTGAGACCATGCAGATTACAGAAAGGAGGGCAATCCTTCTGTCTGCTCACACTCCCCACAGCTCTCGGAAGCTTCACACATCAGGATCGGGTTTCTCGAGGAAACCCCGTACAGAAACTCAGCGGGATCCCACCCGCCACAACAACTTCGAAACGTTCCTCCCTCCTCTGCTTTCTACAATTGCCAAATTCTAACGCTAGAAATTTCCACGTGAGTCAAGGGAAGCAAAGCAGAACACACCAATCTCACGGGAGATCCGGATGATCTCATTCTGGCGACCGAAGTCGCCTCGACACCGACGTTCAGTCTCCAATCTTTGCAGCCTCAGTTCCCTTCGAGCAATGCTCCCATGCACTGTCCACCGAAAAACCTAAAAACCACCAGATGAGGGGAAGTTGTATCACAAGTGCTCAGGGACGATAAAAATCTGCGCTCAACTCTAGATCAAGAAACACCCCGTGATCGTCATGCCTCGGCACCATACTCAGGGGTTAGATTCGCCGAGACCATATGGAATTTACAATCTTCACCTACCTTCTGCCGATCTTTCTCCCACTCTATCTCTTCCTCGTATGCACCTCCTCTCTTGCTCTCGCTCGCTCTCTCTCTCTCTCTCTCTCGCTCTCTCGCGCCAGCGAAAGCGAGAGCTCTCGCTCTTCTTTCCAGAAAATCGTCTCTGACCGTGTATTCTGTCAGGAGGACGACGACGAAGTAGTCAAGCAGCTCACTGTACTTTGTCACTGCAAGCGACAAACCTCAGGCAGCTAAATCATGCTTCACTCATCCCCGATTATCTGTCTCCTCAGGTGACTCTGAGCTCTTAGACCGCATAGACCGTGGTTCTATTATGGCCCTGGCATGTGATAATTCAGGTTTTTGTGCTCGCTACCATGAAAATCCTCCTGAGGCTAGTAGAAACTCAGTTTGTGTGAAATCCAAATGTGAAAATTCGCACAATTATAATAGTGAATGATTTTTGTCATTCTAGTTCAAAAACAAAATATTCTCAATAGAAAGTAGCCACCATATAAGATATAGGCTGAGTAGCTGGGTCGTGGTTTAGCTAGGTGAATGAAAGAATGCAACGGGGTGAAAAAACGTGTATTAACTTAGCTGTGGTTCAAATCTTTTTGGCGACAATTTTGCATGCGAACATGCTTCCTCGCCAATTTGGCCTTCCTTTTGGCTTCCTTTTTACTTCCAGGCAGACAGGCATGGCCCTCGAGAAGGGAGTGTACCTCCCCGCTCCATGGGACGATTTGGACCTTTTGCCCTTTTCGCATGGACCCGACCCCTCTTGTGGTTGTCTCGCTGTGCACCCTGCTCTGGGCCTTATTATAGCTCCACTACAGCAGTCCTGTGGCACTGCTAACACTAGAGATTGTGCTGTTGCTGTTGCTGCTTCTTCTTCTTCTTCATCATCTGCATTACTTTCTGCTCCCGCCGCTGCTCCTTGTCCTCCAATGCCCATCTTGCTCTCGGCTTGGCCCTCAATTTTCAAATAATAAACTCTGCAACATTGTTCTGCTTCCCTGCGTCCACCTCTTACTGCATTCGCCCGGATATAGAATCTTGGGGTTTTCTTTACAGTTTGTGTGACATCTATGTGGATGGAGGCAAAGTAGGTGTGGCAAAGATCCCTTAGCAAGAATCCTCAATCTGAGAGAAAACGGATGAAGCTTGATGACAATACTGCAGACAGATGTTGCATATATTATAATATTGGAAGACTCTGCCTGTCGCATAAACAAACACATCACAAGGTGCACAAACAGTCATTGCGTTGTTTATATTATGTGAATATTGTATACGAGAATAACGATATTAACATCCAATATCTGAGACGCACTTTTGTTGATGATGGTCTGAACGAGTGAGATGAGGTGGTACTGGTACAACAATGAACATGGGACTGAAATTCAAAAAAACTGTAATTGCATTTGGGGTTTTATTGCAACGGTTCTCGTGAGAATATATTTGAGTGTGAGAATCTGAAAGCCTATAAAGTATGCAACGAGTGAAGTCGTTCTCCGTGAACGTGTCCCCAGACAAGGCCAAGGAACTTTGACACCCTCAACGTTGATTGCTTATTTCTCAGTGAGCCTGGCAACTCTTGACCTATGCGGCCCCAGCCATTCTTTAATGGAACCCTTTCGCAAAGTCAGCTCACTGAAGTACGTTGCACATTGAAACTGGGCCCTCCGTTGCGTTTGGAGAAAGGGAGCATAGGAACACAACAAATTCCAAGATTGATGTTCAAAAATAGATTCCTGGACAGCTGGACGAAACTGACTGTCGATATTGACTTTATACTCTATTAGTGTAAATATTCTCACAAGGAGCCTTTATGGAACCCGATTTAGCTCTACATGCCACCTAAGATTTCATTGAGAATATAGGTGTGAAAAAGAATGTGGAGCTTTTCCAGAACAAATCCAGTATCCAGATACAAATACCTCCGAATATCCAACCCACCGTTCACATCCTGCACTCCTCCACTCTTCTCTCTTTTCTACTCTCGCAGGAGTGGCAGGGGCTCGCACGTCCATATGAGGGGAAAAAAATCTCGTGGCGAGAGATGATATGGGATAGCATTGAGATGAATGTGTTGATTCCTTGCGTATGTAATCAGAGAAAGTCTATTTTGTTCAAACTTGTTTTGGCTCATCAATCATCAAAATTCATGCCCGGGCCAGCTTTGTCAGGACAGGACAAATTACATCCACCTCCTGCACCTTCCATAATATATTCTATTGTTTATTGCAATTTTAATATTCGCGGGAACAATGACTTCTTTGACTCGGGCTAGCCGAAGACATTCTCGAGAAGATGCTAGGGCAGTATCTTAGTACTTTCGACCTCTTCCTGTACACAGGTGTGGGGTAGAAAGTCCTAAGTAGGATCTCTTCGTGTGATGTATAATCATAGTCTCCAACATTCCGTCACTGCGGATTATCAATTGAAATAATAAGTGGGCTGGCCCTAGTGTCTGACCCGCTTGGTATGAGTATCTTGGCTCTCGGGCTAAAAAGCGATTTATGTATGCCGCACAGGAAAAGAACCTCCAATTATCAAGTGTCCTCCGGACTGACCGACCATATTCCTCGATTGGCCTACAATTGAGGAGCATTCGATTCCCCTGGACACAAGCAGTTCCGTGAAAGATCCGTTGTGGATCATTCGTAACATGACAAGTTGCCTTATTCTTATGGAACGTGGACTTGCTCTTGCTGATGCAGAAACCTTATAACGCAAATCCTTTCAAGCGGACTTGTTGTACAATTGCCACTGTCATGGTCTACAAAAGATTACTGGTTCGAGAGAAGTCAAGCACTTCTAGCAGGAAGAGAAAGAGCTAAACGGTCTGTGTGGTCATAGTCAAACTTCGTCCCGGTAGAGTCCTCCGGGTGCACGCAATAAGGCACCACCAGGTTCGTCTCCACCACCTGTGTTTGACGGACGCAACATCGACTAACGTAATCGGGGGTCCGGGCCTCGACAACAACGACAAGCCGATCATTACAACAGCGCTACAGGCTAGATGAATCCTGACGCATCGGTCAAGGAAGACTTCTTCTGTTTGACGTCTTTCGACGTTTAATATTGTGAAAATCTTTGTCCCCATCTAACCGTAATATGAGCAAGTCAGACGAATGTGCTTAGCTATCCGGTTAGATGAGGACATTTCACCGAATTTCGGATGAAAAGTTCTTCGTCCACCACTATACCGTGTACGTTTAAGGTTTTAGTTTCATAACCGTCGTACTGAATGTCCAGCTCAGGTTGTATCTCCACACGTACAAAGTGATCGCCTGACAGGTCAACAGGGTACATTTGAAGAAAATAATTTCGAGGGCTTTTAAACGAATCAGGATTGGATGTCAATCAATGCTCTTGTTTTACGATGTCGAAGACCTTTTCAGTGTGTGCAATTTGCTTTTATACCGGGCGCAATTTCGAAGCAACCTTTCGATATCCCTTGCGTAAGAATGGCCGGTCAGAAACTGGGCGGTCAAGAATGCTCAGTGTAGAAATCGGGTTAACAGATAATTCTCCGCAACTAAGAGGTATTAAGTACGTGATAAGATATGGTAATCAGGCTTTAATTCTCAGTAACTAAGACAATCAGGACGTGTTTCATCAAACCTTGAATCATCAGTCCATCTCGATACCGAGAAGATGATCTTTATTAGGGGACACTAACCTCCAGCATCAAAACTATGAAGATGTGAGCAATCACCAATATTAAGATTTGAGCAATCAAAATTTTGCCATCCCTCTATGGTGAAAACTAAAGAGCTAACTCAAGCCGTTCAGATCCCCTCAACGTTCTAAGACGAGCCTCGGTGAAATGGACAAACACCTTGGTAAAGTGCGAAGTGACTCAGCGGAAAGAGATGGTAGAAACAAAGATTAGATGATTGTCCCCACACAAAAAATAGCAACAATGACAGAACCACCAACAGAAACATCGAATTTCTTCTCTCCTGTCTTCGTTTCTAGCTTTCTAGTGATTGTGGCCCCTATTTACAGACCCCCATTTACACCCATAGTAACGTTGGTCATGCTCATTAATGAACAACTTTTGTATCTTCTTTGATTTCCGAATAAACCGGATCAAGGTTACACCAATAGATATATGAAAAAAGGCCGGATACAAATGTATATGAAGATGGAACTGGATGTCGGTTGAGGCAAAGTGCCCAAATTACGCGGAAGAAAACTTCGGTAAAAAAATCCCTTTACAAGAAGACGTGACAATCTCACCAAATCCCAAATGCTTACTAACTGTGTGATACGGTGAAACTAATGGAGGCTAGAGGCTGAGTGACAGAGGTGTAACTAACAATATCCACCACATCACAACTAGTATACACACTTCAAGGTAGATCCTGAAAGTAAAGCAAACCGCAGCGAGAAACCTCAGCCGAGATCTTTGATCAATGGTAACAAGGCAACGGCCTGCCCTTCTACCAGCAGTCGCTCGTTTTCGTCTGTAAAACAACGTGTACTGAATGTGATTCTGAAACCCAAAATTCCAAGTCAGACTTATGTGCTTAAAAATCGTGGTAAGATATGTAAACTCAATTTAAACATATTCGGTTTCAGCACTACATATCTACTAGAGATCTTGGAGGTAAAAATTCGTGTTGCAGTATCACGTATCACAAAAGAAACGAGAAAAGACAGAGGTTTGGAACAGTCGTTTATCCGTGATTGAGAAAAGGCAGGTTCAAACTGTCCACACGGTCCTCGTCTTAAGTAAGGCTAAACGAAAACCTCACACACGGGGCGCTTACTTAGCATTCCGCCTCAGATTCTGAATCGCTGTCACCTCCACTTCGGCAATGAGATATTCGTCAACCGCCACAGGAGCTTTGAATGTCAAAGTTTGAGAAACATAAACTGCACCCGCCTGTCAGATTAACACATAAAATTAAGGAACACGCATATGAAAGTAAAGCTTTATGGTAGACGACACCCCAACCCCCTCTTCGCCCACCTCACGCATCGGGTGCGAGAAGGGGATAAGCAGTGCATATCCCAATAGTGGCCGTACTCATACATGCCTATTCGTTATGGTGGAATTGCTCTCAAAATCAGATTCAATGTCTGTAACTGGAAGCAGAAGGTTGAAATGATAACGGTAAGGAAAAACTAAGTACCAAGCATTCAAGGTCGGCTCTGCCCAGGTATGTATGAGCCCGTACGTACTTACAGCATCATAGATTGACTAAAGTGAGTGTCCACGATCCGGATAAGAAAGATGACATACAAATCAATCCCAAACATACAAGTTCAAGCGGGGAATGGGACCATTTACGGGCAACAGTCACATGCTAAGAGCACAACTTACAACAGGACCCAAACTTACAAAGCGAGAGCCGATGATAGCTGGGAATAAACTCCCACAGAGCATGCCGGGCACCACACACCCACTGAATCCAGCGTCTTGGGCAGCCGATGTGCTGGTGTGAATTGGATTAGAATCACCAGTGAGACGACAGTAAGAAGTAACATCAGCAGCACTGAAAGAGCACCTCTGACTCAACTTAGTCCCTTGACTAAGCTTCTCAGTGGAAGCTGCAGTTGACAACGCTCTCAGTTGTTGCTCCCAGAGACTTACATGACCTCGAGCTACTTTTAAAACGTTTTTCCCCTTCATCTTCTTTCGTCTGCCGTGACAGAGAGCAGACGGATCCAGATGAAAACTCTTAGCTGTAGTCTCATATTTGACTCAAAAGTAGAAAAGAGGGTAGAACAATCGAAATAACTGCACGCTTCATCAGTTTTCTCTATAAAACTATTGCTCTAACTCAATACATGTCTACTCGTCACTTCAAGCCTTCCCAAATTAGAGGTGCCTATATTAGCTGCCTCCAAGTTTTAGCGCAGCTAGGACCGTAACTTGTTCTCTTTCTACAATGCCAAAAACACTGCTTACACGGTAAGACAATTTCAAGAAGAGGGAATATGCCTTAATAGATGAAGCGTAAGCTACCAGATACCTGACAATGAGTATCACCTGAGTGAGAGTCCAGGCCACAAACTGATCGTGTCACAGGGTAGGACATTCATTGGTATGGTAGTAGCGGTAGTAAGAGCGAGTGAAATGAACGCTCAAAGTTTCCCATGTTGGCACTCAGTCATATATAATAAGAAGTTAGCGGAATTCATCAATCCGAGGAGCGAATGTACCTAAATAATGGCTAACGTCCGTCCTCCTCAAGCCTGGAATGAGTTATCACACAAGTTTTGGTGATTTTGCTGAACATGCTGCGTGACAGAAGGCATGCGCCAAACTGTGTTAATATCAGTAAAAACAAGCATCTAACGCAGCAGGCCACTTAGTCCCGTCTGCGTGCAAAAGGACTTTGAACAAACATAAAACCAGAACCAATCTTCACTAGTCCTCGACATAGTATCCCAGGACTCTACAGCAAACACAAGAGTTGCGACTTAGCGAAATAAAATTTTAAGAGGCTGCCATGACTCACAACTTCAACAGATTTTATCAGTCTACAGAGAATCTAAAGACGACTAGAGGTCATAATTCTTCTCATCACAAATCATCACGGAGAACAATACCTGGTTGAACACTGAAGCATCTCACCTGTAGGCAATACTGGTCGGTTGGCGGGACGAATTCCAAGGTCTTTGACTCTCTTCCGCACCCAGTTGTTGTCAGTTTCAAGAAACTTCTTCAGTATCGCATCATTCAATTTGCTGGATTCCAGAGTTTTCTGCAACATGCACGTTTTCGCAAAATTTAGGACGAGAGGTACATTCTCTGAATTCCTCTGCTAGTTAATGGTACGAGATTCTTTCAAATCGTTGAGTTTTTGAACAGAGGTTTCTCAAATCGATGGTTCATGTGTGTATACAGAAAAGAGACAGAAGTCCACCCGTACAATCCTTTGACAGAGGATGACAAGGGCGAATACCAAATCACCTTAAAGTCTGCAAAACACAGAGAATTTGAGAATCTCTCCAGGAGGATTCAAGTCTGCGAAACGCTCCAACACTTGTTCGAAGTTCCCCGCTCGAATCACTCTACCAAAAACTAGCCGACGAAATGGATAACAAAAATCCCGCGCCTGCCAACAAACTTAAGTAACCAATTCAGAATGGCTTACCTCGAAGAGAATTGCCACGATGTGATCAGGGACAAAGGTAAAAGTTGGAAACTTTTCAATATTCGCGGCTGCTCTATCGATGGCAAGGTTCAAAAGCGACGGTACGGGGCTCGAGTCTGTCATTCCCTCTCCCCACTCTCTTCAAGTATCTGCTCCAATATTTTCCGAAGTCTGGTAACTGCCTCGTTGTGCACAGAGCGCTCACAGCTTAGACTTTGCGAACACTCACATCAGCCCGCCAGCCCGCTCGCCCGCTCTCTCCCTCTCTCTCTCTCTCTCTCTCTCCCTCCCTCCCTTCCTTCCTTCCTTCCGTCTGATATGTTTGACAGCGATCTGCCAACCAGGGGGCCCATCTGACTCCGTGCAGCTGTAAACACATCAAACATACAGACCTTTAGCAACCTCCTTGGATCCTTCCCGCTAAACATATTTCCTTCTTTGCTTCGTAGACACCTACAGTACCTGCTGCAGTTGTGGTAAGCATTTGTATGAAGTCCGATGCAACGGTGTGGAGCTTAAGAATCTTTCCGGCATAGCCTTGACTACTTCGCAGTACTCTCTTCCGACTCCTTTCCGGATGTACAATACTACGAGGGTCAATTTCTACCAGGTGAGGCTTGACTACCTCTCAAGACACTCTTCCTACTCGTTTGAAAAGTGTCCTAAGGGACTGACTGATCTACCATACCGAGCTCTTCAACGGCTTGGATTCCCAAGCTTTTGGTTGAAAGGTTGAGCTAAGGATTTTGACCCCTTCCTCTTCTACCACCGCTTCCTAGCTCTTGATGTACGTCCTTCATGTTCTGTATATATATTGCCCATATGCTTCTCAACCTTTTGCCTTATTGTTACAAACTATCTAAGCAATAAGAAATTCTCATTAGAACGTCAAATTTGTCACACATGAATTTCATAATTTTGTACACCATTTCCAGTTCAAGTCTCCACTTTGTTTAGACACCCGTCCGCCCAACCCCACACCACGGTGTCCCTAAAGTGTCTAGCTACAGCCGATTGTTGTGATACTTGTAAATGTCGCGAGCCCTGCAAACACTAGTGGTTTCAACATTTCATGCTGTGGTGGAAACAAACACGACACAAGAATAAAATCGTAACAGACAGCAATGTATCTTCTTTAGCAAGGGATCTTGTCACTCTTGTAGATTTATGGAAATCCTCTACCTCTTGAGATGTCAACCTGTTAGATGGTGTGTTTCCTTGTCTTCTTCTTATTATTCGGAGACTTCAACGAATTATACATCGTTACATCCACGAATAGCCTTAGCCAGGACATTTTCCTGCCTCGGTGCAAGCAACAACTTGTCTATCTAATGCTCGCGAAGATCGACATGGCAGCCTAAATCCAGCCATTAGATTCCAACTGAAATTCCACGACACATATCCAATCGACAATATCAGCGAATTGTCAAGCTTAAATCAAGAAGAGAAGAAGGACTTCGAACAAAACGGCTGAGGTCAAGGAACGACTTCCGGGGGTGAAATATTCATCCTCTTTGGTCCAAGTAGACACTTTACAGTACCGTATGCGACTTAACCTTTTGTCACACATAATTCTCGGTATAATGCATGCAATTTTACAATTCGACAAGGCAGGGGGAAAACTGTAGAATGAGTTGAAAACCACAACCACCACCACTTCGTACAAAGCTGCTGAAATTACGCGGCTGGCTGCACGAGAGTTGACTAGGCAGCCACTTCTGCTAGTTTGACACTGTGAGCATCAAACAGCAACGAGCGCACTCATTTTCCTCAAAAGCGTAGATGATATCGTCCCCCTTTTGAGTCATTTCTACGAACCTCTGTCGACCTACTCATGATTAGAAAACCGCTCTGTAGCGATTCCACCTTCCTAGAGTACACAAATAAAAAGTTAGAAGAGTCCTACGAGGATCAGGTTAGGGCGACAATGTGCCTCCTAGAGAAAAGATTTTTTCACTGTGATAGTGTCTTTCTTTCTCTCTTTAATTAGAGAACTTCCTCATCCTAAAAATAGTGGACGGTCCGTGAAGTAGATTCCTCATGTAATATTTGAGTTAATCAAATTATTCCTTTAGCGAGACACACCGCCCCGCTATTGTCAGTTGCAAACACGTCGGAGACTGTGGAATAAATCAGCAATCGAGACCTCGAGTTGACCATTCGAATGTGCGGTGTATATTCAGAGTTATGAGAACCAAATTATCTAAAGATTCACATCGCCAGTGACGAGATTATGTGCTCACAATTTCTTCAAATCAAAAATACACTGTGTTGTGAGTTGCCTCGCTAAGACAATCCAAGAGCTTATGCAAGTATGTAGGACTCAGTTTTCAGTATTTACGTATCCATCCGTAGATATGAACTTTACACTTGTGACAAACATCTTAGAGTTATCAAATTGCTTCCCACATGTGGAGAATAAACCTCACATAATAAGTGAAATCTACATGAGTTTTTCTATCCACATTAGTTTCCTCTACACATGGGAATATCTATTTCATAAGATCTGGGGTGAATTCACGAGGCCAGGCACTTAAATAAGATATTACAACGGGAATTGGAACACAATTTCCAATTCACTTCTTCTCATGATGCATTTTAGCACTCCATAATTACTATCGCCTTATGAGGTGCTGATTGATGTGGTGTAACCAAAGAGAACAAATTGACCATCTGCACCACGGAGCTATTATATAGAATAAAAGTGTATCTCAAACACTTATTTTCTCTCTGTTTTCCTCCGTTTTTTTTAGCATCCAGTTCTCCATATCGGGGCCAATTTGTTCGCATCTCTTCCTACTCTTCTACGCGCTTTGGTCTCTGTACCTTGGTTCGTGCTTTTGCATTTTGAACTTCGACACACTTCCATTAATACTTCTCCTTTTTGTGAAGCCTGAGTATAAGCTGTCGTTCATTCTGTCTTATAGCTGCTTATAATTGATGGTCAGAAAAAAATAGATTTTAGTGTTTAATTTCTTGGCTGGAGATTTCTATACATGGGTCATCTCTTGGAATGTTTGCCTTCCCTCTTATTTGCCCATTTTTTCTCAAAACAAGTTGAAATTCTGCAGCGCGATCATAAATATGAGAAAAATCACTTCTTAATATCCCGCATCGTTTGTTCACATTGGAGACTTCTTTTGCTCAAACAATATGAATAGGAGTATATATTTTTTTCATGATAAAGTCATCTGAGAGGGTTGATAAGACGGAAGATTGTTGGTGCAAAGTAAATTTCTGAACAATTTGACTATGATCGGCTTGTATTTGTCTCTCTTGTATTGTCTTCTTTGATCATAGTTATTTATTTTATTTGTGGTGAGACATATTTACCATGGTGATGTTCTTGGGCTACCACAATTACCCACCTTTGGTTTATCCATTAAATACTGATGAACCCTTCACATAATTCTTGTTATTTATCTGGTTCCTCCGCTTTGGAAGGATTCAATGGAGGAACGTGTATACAAAATTGAATAAATCGAATAAAGAACGAATTTATGTATCGATAGATGATATCACGAAAAACACGTAACCGCCTCGTAAGGAGTAAGTCGGAGTGGACCTTTCGTACAAAGGATATTCTTCCCGAGAGACGGCAGAAGCATGCTTGAAATACGACTACCGGGAACTGTATAATAGAGTACTTGAAGTGAGCATAAACTTGAGGATTACTCAAGAAGAGCAAGTAAAACACGTGGACGACAACAATGTGAATGGCGTAGCTCGGATCCTAGAATAGATTCAGCATTAACAGGAACTGATGAGAACGTGTGGGCAGCAGTTTTATGTATCAAGGACAAATATGAGCACGAGAAACGTTTAGGTCGATATGAAGTTAGGTTCTCTCGGATAGGAATCGATCAAGGAAGTTTCTTGCATATTAAGTCAACAAATGAAGAGAAAAAAAAGCATAGCATAAAGAACGATATCTCTTCCCATCAGACTATACCAATTTGCGAACGTTCTAAACAACAATCACGCAAGTTTGCTCTACCTGATCTACCAACTAATCCATAATGTATTGTATCTGATTAATTGCTGGAGCTATGAAACCTATCCATCCAGTAGTCAATACTGTTTGGACCTTCATGTCGGGATAGTATATCACTACGGGAGTGTTGGCGAGAACTACATCTATCACATTTTATTACAAAATCTTTTGTAACTCAACAACGGGATTGTTCACAAAAGTTTATCAATTGATGAGTTTTGGAATTTCAAGCTTTGTAAAAAATAGATGCTTCTTAGTGCGTAGTGGTAACCAGAAGAATCAACAGGATGTTTGTTCATCATAATAATGATGAAAATGACCAGATCTGTCACTCTTTCTCATGATTAATGCCGTCAGAGTAGGGACTTCAAATCATCATCCAAATATATAGAGGTCTACGTTGGGATGTATACTTTTCATATAATGTAGAATGAACCTACCTCACTTTCTTTTGACGATTAGGTTCGAAAACTAGCGCAAAAGGGAATGAGCAGGCAGTCAAACAAATTTGATTTAAATGCGTGTGTGTTAAAACCAACGTTCCCTGTGGACGTTTTACCGTGACGAGTTGAACTCATAGTAGTCAAGCGTACAAATTTATTAATCTTGAAATACTAACCATTTTGAATAACCTCAACTGAGTTGGCTGAAAGTGATAGCGAGTTTATGAAGTGAATGAATTTGGTGTTGTGTTAATTTTAACTAGGCTTTGCATACACAGTTCAAAGCTTTTTTTCCCGGCCTTATGTCTCTAAGAATTTGAAATAAAAAGTTGGAATCTTTACGAGATTGAAAACTATCTCGGTAATTGGGAAAAAGAAATCTTATGTAGTTGCATACTTTAAACCCCAGTTTCGCTCTGTTTGGAATATTGATCTCACATTATGACCTTTTTTTACAGGAGGGCTACAAATAATTGGACAGTCATGGAATTTATTGTTATATTACAATTAAACCAGCATACGTTACACATTCAAATTGCTAGTTCTTGTCCTTTTGAGTAAAGAGGTCGTTTTGTTTGTGGTTTGGAGCATTGAGAATTTTAACAGAAATAAATCTGATTGAATATGTATTATTATACCGTATGTAAGTGAATTACCGAATAATCTGTCATCAAATTTAAATTATAAAATGACTTTAATTATTCAGTCTAGAACTCGACGGATTATTCTTCAAACAATATCTGCTTCAAATCTTTATAAGTTTAGACTTCATGGTAGATGTCAGTTATAGAATGTCTCGAATCCAATAATTCCACAACCGCTCCATATTAAAGAAACCTGCTAAAATGTATGAAGTCAAGGAAATGTATTATTAAGCATGAATCGTTTGATTATTCAGTGGATCTGAGAAAAAAATATTCATATTCATTCTTTTAAAATTAAATTGATCTAAAAGTGAATCTATTAAAATGTATGCCCACTTATCTATTGAACAGATTGAAAATCCAACATCCTATCGCACTTGAATTGCTTAGTTTTTTTATTATTTAAGCACAAGAATATATATATATATATATTGAATTTTAATCTTTTTTCCACATTGTAACTTTTGATTCTTAGGTTTTTATTTCTTTAATTTTTTTTATCGACATTCCAATTGTTAAACAAATATATTAACAATGCAGAAGAACTTAAGATGTTTTTAATACAATAATACGAATGATCACTTCTCGGTTTCATATCGAAACAAAGAAAAGTAATTAGTTGATAAATTTACACAATATGAAGACACGTAACTTTCATAAAGTGTTACATATAGTCAATGATGATATTGTGTATGAAGATCAAAATGTGGATGAGTAAGCAAATTTCACTTATAAAAATATTTTCCAACAAATGAATATAAATATATTCACTATTACAACAATAAAAAGATTAGAATTATTTTTTGGTTTTCAGAATATCTTTTTCTTGCGACCAGAAAGTTCTGCATGCAACTGAATTTCGAGATGTTCATTTCTGTGACAAAATTTATTTATAATTTTTTTTCTTGATGTTAAGAAACTAATTTTTTGTTTAGACTCGTGATACGATATATTATCATTTATATTTACACATTCTAAAATGATTTTGGCTAACTAAGAAGTATCATCATGAAGCAAACATAATTATTTCGTTTTCGCATGATGTATATTTCTGCTATTGGTTGAAATCGTAGATGATTACCAATCGTATTGGTTTCAAAAGGAACTTGATATGTTGTGTCGTAACTGTTGATATCATTTTGTGAAGTCTACTGTTGCAAATAATGCTTTCCTGCAAGAATTTAAGACAAAGAAAGCAAACCGCGGATACTTCAATGTGGCAGCAGGATATCCGGTGGACCCAATTACGTAATCCGATCTCGAATTAAAGCCTTGAATCCCACGGGAATCAGGATGCCACTACATTCAGTGATAACAAGTATTGTATTGTACTGTGTATCGTAAATTGTAACTACAATTGTCGGAAATCAGAGAATCCAGAGTGCAATGGTCACGCGTTGCCAAAGCAGATTCCACATTGTGCAGGAAATTAAACCAAACGAATCATTGCACAAAGTTCAGTATGAGAGAAGAGAGGAGGCAACCGTGATAGCTGATTTGTGAGGAGGTCTCAAAGGTTAACGAAGAAACCTGGAGAACTAATTTAAATACCAAATTTTCAAGAACTTGCTCACGATAATGGAGGTAAGGTGAAAGGCAGCAATATGGAACAAAAGTGGAAAGTGGAAAATGGAAAATTGAAATGTAGTAATAGCCTTCAGCTTGCGGTTCTTACTAGAGAGAGAAAAGACATTTTTCACATGGTCCGAGGAAACCAGCATCGCTCTACCTATGGCAGGTGGGCCCTGTAAGAACTAAGTAAGACCCATCACCGCCCGCACAAACGGTTGTGCAGTATGAAGCCGTCGATTCGAAGCACACTTGATGGTTCTGACTCATCAGAGTGCAAGTGCTTCTTGCATGAGGCAATATGAATTTGTCGCCCAGTGAAATTTACTATGCGTGATTTACAAGATGCCCTGAAGAAGGAAGAACATGCAACTTTCTTCCCCATGACGAAGTTTCTACAGCAGCCCGAATATTGCCATGGTTCACAACTGCTGCTTGCCAAAAGTATATTACACAGAAGTAGTGTTCTAGATAGCACTTTCTTGATGCTTTCCTGTCAAGTTGCAATTGTAGATATTTCAGGAAGCCTTGAGTGTATTTCTAGCTTGCATATCCGGGGGTATTGAATTTGAAACCGTGTGTTTGGCTAAGATGCAATATTATCTTTGCAATCGATTGCAGTCTGCAGATCACCTCAGCGCTCTCTACTCAAGTGATCCTTGCAGTGATGCACCAAAGTAGCATCTGTTGATGATCAGATTGTTATCTTTGTTTCTTCCAAATTCGTCCAAATTTTGTAAGAAATAGCTCAATATTTGAAGTACCATCTCCTTAAATTGTCCACATAGAGAAATTGATAAATCTTCATTTTGGTGTTCATGTTCATGATTTCAATAATATGATTTTTTGGAATTACAGAGAAACTAAATCCTAATGTCGCACTTTTGTATTGGGAGAAAATAAGCACAGTAAAATTTGAGCGGGTTATATGACAAAGAGTACAATCAAAAGCTCTAAAAGTGAAGAATACTTACATTGTAATAAATTTCATATAGTCAAGTTTTTTAATATGGTTCCAAAGGTATGACTTTAGATCTAATCAATCAGTATACGCAATTATGGGAAATTCAGTGAAGATATATTGACAATAGTTCATTGACTAATTTTTGGTTAATATACTATTTAGTCTTGAGGTGTTTGGTATATTAAGATGTGAGGAAAACATTCGTGTCCAATTTGGGGATCTTTTGAAAGTCTGTAAAAAATTCTTCGGTCTTAGGTGTAACTTCTATGTCTGCATACTAAAGCAGGAAGAAATTGTTTAACATTTCGAAAGGTATGCTTGTATTTGACAATCTGCAATGGTTTTTGCAAGTTGCGTGCCTAACAATATGCCCTATATTAGAGCACTCAATTACGCACAAATCAAATGATGAATAAAAAAAAGCAAATAAGGCACCGTCTTACGGGCCAACGGCTATACCTTATCAATTATCTGCAAAGAGATCCTTGAAGAATAATTTAAATATATTATAACCAAGTGATATCGAAGGGATGCTTTGATAGCTTCGGACTGCACGGTGTCTTTATCAAGTGCAAATCTCGAAATACAATGTAACATCTATCAAAAAAGAACAATTTATTACACAGCAGTGTGATATCTATAGTTAAGTGGGGCAACCTATCCAAGCTTATATACTTAAAGTGGAAGTGATACAAGTTAAGTGTGAGACCAAAATGAAGTTGAATATTTATTGATGGCTTAGCTTTATGATTACCATTGTTGATGTGAAGAAGTTTAAACATGACTTTAATAATCATTTTGAAGTTCGGTAATGCAACGATTTATGAGCGACTTAGAATAGACTGAATTCTTTTTCCATCTATAATTGACAGTTATAATCAATTAAAATATAGAGTTGCTAGTTGGAGTGATATTCAACAAGTGGGATTAAACTTGTCGTAGTTATTTTCACAAAAGCAACATTTATCGTTATCATCCTTCTATAATTTTTATAAAGCAAGCTATGGAGAAGTGAACATGATAACTTTTGACAGGAGGTACTAATTCTAAATTCTGAGCTATTTCTTTATTAGATAAGTACATCAATACATAAGAAAATCAAGATGACTCTTAAACAAAAAAGAGTACAGGACTTTTCAATATTCAAGTATCAATAGATGGACCGAGTTAACGAAATTGATGATGAAATTTGGAAAATGTGTTGTATTGATTGTGTTGACGTAGAGTCGAGATTGAACAATTTCAATGGTAAAAGAACATCACGTGGAATGTATATGAACACTCTATTTTACACGGATGTTATCACGTCTTGCTTATTGCCGAGTATGGAGAAGACTGCTATGTCCTCCGGATGTCTTATCGATTGCGGTAGAAGTATGTAGAGGTCTAATAGAAACTTATAGATCGTCCTCCAGTCTTTCAAGTGGAGTGATCGACTATTAATTTGTAATTCTTCTTGTCGTTTTGAGACCCTTTTCTCATCTAAATTTCAGTTTACTTTTAATCTAAGGTGTGTATGTAGAACTTTTGTCACTTCTCCTCTTGTTACTTTTAATCCATGTTAACCACCGTAGCCACATAGAACCCCATTGCGAACATCAATCCTTCTCTTCCTTTCCTTTTGATCGTCCTTTGCTAAATGATTAGTAGTCTTGGCTTCTCATCTGCTTTCGCTCGCTGGCGTTGGCTGCAGAGCTTTCTGCATTTCTCCAATTATGATACGCCATGTTTTAAAATATCCACTGACTACTCTTTTGTGAACATGCACAAGGCTCAGTTGCCCATATCCTGTGATTTGGAAGTTAGTGCAAGCAATCACAAATGGAAATGGGCTTGAATGGACCCCAGTGCTTGCTCCCAAGCTTCTGCTGCATGCTGTTTTTCAATCTCCAGGTCTCGAGAAAATATACGCACAAAGATACGTTCGTTCCCTGACGCAGAGGAACCGTTGTTCCTCTGTGGCAACCTCCCTCTGCCCTCGTGCACGAACTGGATCTATTTCGTCGTCGTCGTCGGTGGTGCCGGTGACGAAAAGACGAGGCCATCGAGCAGCAAGGGAAGGGAACGGATTCAGCGAATTTCTGCTGCGAAGTTAACCAACGAACGGTATCAGAGCAAAAGACGTCCATCAAGTGGCTGCCACGTCGGACCATCCATGAACCGGAGGGCCGCGCAGACCACCAACCCCAGCCCCGGGCAGCCGGGGCATCCGTCCATCCAGGCAACGAGCGAATGAACGAACGAGATGCAGGATGGTTTCCCGCGCAAGTAGACAAAAGTAGCGGTGCGGATGGGGATGGGGATGGGGACGGATGGGGAGGTGGACGCACGAGAAATGTCGAAAAGGAGGACGACTGACTGGACGACTACGTCGTGCGGGTGCATATGGCTTCGTGGTTTCTCGCCCGAAAACGACAAGGGGGTTATGATTTAACATGTTAGAAAAGCGTTCGCATGTCAGAGAGGCTCGTCGTAGTTTGTTGACTAATCCGAGAGGGTGCGGCGGTGAGGGGGTAGGGCCGAGGAACGACCGAGGAGGAAGAAGGAAAAAGGAGGAAGATTTCGGGGTTGGAGAAGGGGAGCCGAGGAGCCGAGGTTTAAGACTGGGGACGTGTGCAAATCAACACTTTTGCAGGTTTAGATTTAGGCATCGGCGAAGCTGGGGACCCGCCGGTGCCAAAAACAGCGCGGGACGCAAATTTCGGGGAATGGAACAAAGAACCTCGCTCTCTGACGTGATGAGAGGTGAGCTAGAATGGCGGACGATGGGGACTGTGTAGGAGCGCTGCTGCTGCTGCCGCGGCGTGAGGTGCATTGATGCCGAACTACAACGCACTGCGCAAGTCTCTCTCCCACCGGGTGTCCTCCCCTCGGGCCACCACTGTGTGGTCCATTACTGCCACAATTAATTGCTCCCGCGAGCATTGTTGAACGCTTTTCTCTGTTCTTGCTGCGCTCTGTTGAGGAGGACTCTCTCTCTCTCTCTCTCTCTCTCGGTGTCTCTCGCGGTCTTGTCGTGCGCTTCGGTCTCTCCTGCGGGAGGAGTGCAAGGTTGTTGCTGGTCTGGCAGGCAGGCGAGGCGTTTGCAAGGAGCAGCATTGCTGTTGTGCGAGTGTAGAGGACTGAGGGCTGGGAGGAGCATCGAGGCAATTCCTGAGGAACAAGTGGAGGAGGACAGTGGGTATGTCTGCTTCTCCATGGGGAAGAAGCAGAAGAACTGACCGCGTTGCCGAGGATTGAAGCATTGGCGGCAGGAGCGGTAACAGCGACCTAGCTGTGGGTGGAGAGAGCTGCAGAAGATGGAGCTTCTGAGTGTGAGGAGTAGCCTCGTTCGGCTGAGTGTGCAGCTGCTGTTATTTCTCTCCGTCCACACAATACTCATTACCGCCCAGACGCCTGGTATCTTTTCTTCCCCCTCTGATCACTGCTGGGTCCATGTGTGTTCTGTTGCCAGAGATTCACCTCTTATCGCCGCTGCTCGGGCATCTCTGTTTCTTTGCGGTTTGTGTTGAGCGAGCGCGATATTGCATTGAGTAGTGTTTTGAGCGGGGGTGAGATAAGAGCAAATGTGTGAATTTCAGTTTTAATGTGCATCCTTCGATGAGATCTATCGTTATAAAATTGGCGGAGGAGGATAGGGAAAGCGCCTCGAGGCGGATTTGGGTGCATTGGTAATTTCGAAATGATTATGTGAATGACGTGATTAAATGTGGAGGCTGGGTGTAACTGGTCTCAGGATCTGTTGATTTGCGAGCGAGATCAGGCGTTGTGTGTACAATGGCAGGACAGTTTCTATGAGGAAGTGTCGAATTTCTTGTATTTTACCGTTTGGCTAGTTGTAGTGGGAATTGTGACTCAGAAGTGGTAATACATCGTTGTTTAGAGAGGCTAGAAGGCGATCCAGAATCCCTCGCTTATATGCCACCCCAGGTGCCAACTAGTGATGGGGACGTGAAAACTTGGCCATCGAATCCCGGATATAGCTTAGTACTTACTATAGGTGCTATTTTTATAATAAATGTTTGGAAATGTGAGCCTGCTCATGAAACGTTACCGGTGGTCATTATCATGCAGACTCCGAGATGCATAGTGAGCTTATCTATTGAATATGCTTTCTACTGATCGAGAGACGATATAACTGCTGTAGGTGGCGTTGTTATTCGAATCGATTGCGGCGGGTTTACCGATTTTACGAATCAGTTCAACGAATCATGGATTGCGGACGCATATTACACAGGAGGATCAGTTTCTTCTGTTTCTGACCCAGGAAATTTTGTTCAAGAGCAAGAGCGGACCATCCGATACTTTCCTATTTCTCTAGGAAAGAAACATTGCTATGTCGTGCCGGTGCCTACGGGAAGATACTTCATCCGGATGTTCTTTGTTTATGATAACTATGATCACAAGTCGACGACACCAAGTTTTGATGTTTCGGTGGAAGGGACAGTAGTTTTCAGCTGGAGGTCCCCGTGGGCAGATGATATTGCTATGCGAGGTGCCTATTCGGATCTTCACGCCTTCGTTGAGGATGGATTTGCTACTGTGTGCCTCTACAGCTGGGCGACAGATTCGCCGTTGCTTGGAGCCTTGGAGATCCTGCAGGTGGATAATTTGTCTTACGATGCCGTTTCTACGGGGCAGGAGGTCATTCTGGTGAATTATGGTCGTATTACAGCAGGAAATAGTTCATTTGGTGCAGGATTGAGCAATGATACGGAGTTAGGTGGTCGAGCGTGGGAAATCGATACTTCCTTCAGCACGACTCCCAAACTTCTCATCACCACGACTGAGCCTATTCGGAATACCAATGTCGCTCCGAATTATTTTCCAGAGAGACTTTTTCAGAGCGCGCGCGTTGCACCAACCAATCTTTCTATGAGTTACAACTTCACAGTAGACTCTAGCTTGGATTACATGCTTTGGTTTCATTTCGCTGAATTTGAGCCAAGTATAAGTGGCCCAGGTCAAAGAGTATTCAACATTACTGTGAATGAGGATGTCATATTTACCGAAGTTGATGTCTTCAAGTTGGCTGGAAACTATGCGGCGCTCTCGCTGAACTACACCTACAGCAATTTGACGGACACGAACTTGGTTGTCACATTTGAGCCTGTGATTGGCGAGCCGCTTATCTGTGGCATGGAGGTTCTGGCAATTCTTGAGGTTGAAATTGGAACGGACAGCAGAGAAGGTGAGTTATGTGAATGATTTAGCTTTAGGTTCGTATATTTGTCGTCTATTATCATTTGCTTATCTCTCCCCATTAAATTTGTATCGGCCGAGGTAGACGAATGCAGGAGGTCAAGCCTTTATCCAATACAAACATTGGAGGTTTTTTTTTCTTAAGAAAAGGGAAGGGTTTTAGCTTGTGGTAAGTGAGGAGCTAAGTGTATACTCGTGGAGCAGTTTGCTGTAGGTAATCGAGAGAGTAATGTTCACATTGCGTGCAAATTTATATTTCTTGAATACATCAGTATTAAGTTCGAAGTGCATGATCAAACTATATCCATGTGCATAAACAATCCTGGTTTCGGTACCAATGGCTGCTTGATCCTGCAGCTGCTGCTATGCAACAGTTGAAGACATCTTTACAGGTCCCTGATCGAATGGGTTGGAATGGAGACCCATGTTCCCCTTCGAGTTGGGACGCTTGGGAAGGTGTCAGTTGTACCTTGGACAACGAAGTCAATGCCCTAGTTATCATGCGATTGTAAGTATTTTGCACGATCAGTATTATACGTGTTCTTCCACAAGCAGGTTGTTCGATTGGTGTGTGCAGGTTGGAAGATGTTTATATTCGTTACAAGGTAGCCTTAGACATATTAGTCTTTGTGCAGAGCTTTAATTTTTATACTCATGAGCGATGGTGGTACATTTAACAGCATGAATTGGATTCTCACGGTCCGAGAATTTGTCTTCGTTATGACGTTTTATCTTGTATTGTTGAAATTTGCTCAGGGATCTTTCCAATCAGGGTCTGAAGGGGTACATAAGCGACCAAATCACGCAGCTTAAGTATCTGACTTTTATGTAAGTGATATATGAAAGATTTTATAAGCATAGTTCTTGAAGTGGTATTGATTCTTGAGTCGTTGTCGCGAATTTGTATTTCACTTGTTAGGAGCAGACTCTTGGAGTGTATGGTTTTCATCATATCTGAGAAAAGTGTGATGAAATGTCTGTCTGCTTTCTCAAGCTGGGGTTTTCAGTTAGCCTCAAAATATCCTGGTTTCTTTGGCTAAACCAACAATCAACAAATTGTTATGCAGGAATTTTAGCAACAATGACATTAGCGGTAGTATTCCATCAGGTCTTGGAGGTGGTGCCCTCGAGAGCGTGTGAGTATAATTTGATATGAAGATTGGTTGTGGACCTAAGATGTTTATTGTACATGCACACACAGAAAATGGACTGATGATCAGAAATATATCACTAACGTGAATGTCCTTGCATTTTCCAGTTCAGTTGAAGGCTAAATTCTCTAGTAAATTAAGGTTTTTCATTTGCAATGCAGGGATTTGTCCACTAATTCTTTGACGGGCATAATACCCGACAGCTTGGGTGCATCTCAGCTTACTCGCGTGTATGTCATTCTCACCGTACTTGATTTCTGACTGATTTGTATGTGGAGAGTTGGAAGTTCTATAAGATTCTGAATTTTTTTATTACACTTTTCGCTATGCTTGTGTCTTTACAGCTAGTAGTAGTATTTTGGCACAACTTGTTTCTGATTCACAACCCCGAGTCCGGGTTCCTTTTGCTAAGTATCTGTGTCCTGAGTTTGAATCCTCTTGTCGTCATCTCTACATACTTGGATGAGATTGACAGTATGGGCTGGCCTGCGACTTCTCCTTTTGCAGAAATTTACAGGTCTAGTGTTTGACCTACAGCTAAACCTCGAAAGACATGGAACTTGCATTGAATGTGTGTTTCTGTGCTTTGCAGACTTTTGAACCAAAATCTCTTGACTGGGCTCGTTCCGGAGGCCCTTTATTCTATAGGTGTGCGCGGTGGGTTTATCAAGTAAGTATCTCTACACGTTTACAACAGATCGTCCAGATCTTGGTGTTTAGCTTTGTCTATGTTGTTTGATCTTCTCATTGTGTAGTTGAAGACAGTGCAGTTAATGCGCGATGATGTCGTTCTCCATCACGAAGGCCTGTAGACGTTAGTCACTGTGGTTTTTGCTCCTAGCAGCTTGTCACAAAATCAAGGACTGTGCGGAGTGCCATCACTACCAACGTGCCCCCATTTTTGGGAGGACTCCGGATTGTCGGCTGGAGCAAAAGCTGGTATTGTGCTGGCAAGTTTGGTCGGAGCAGCGGTTTTCTTGTTCTTGGTATGTTTCTGTATCAGAAAGAGGAATTCTGAAGACGACTACAACTTCGGTCTTCCTCACCAGCTCGCAAGTAAGATTCTCAACATCACCATGTGTTTTTTTGATATTGTTTCTCGGCTCTGTTGTGGCTTCTATCACAGTTATATTACATAAAGTCTTAAGTCAGTGATGGATGTGGTGTTAGAAACTTTTCAAGTCTGGGAGATATTGTTAGTTTTTTGCTTGACCGACATGTTACTGATATATTGGCAATGTTGCAGTGAGGCATAAGCGGTACATGTTGTACCGAGCGACGTTGCAGTCCAACAACGAAGATAGTCATATGATGAGGGTTTCTCCTGGTAAATACGGATTCTCATCTACCATGAATGCTCTTTAAATATTGATGCAGAATGGAACTGCAACTGGTCGTGCTTTAATTTCATACTGGGACTAGAGTTGAAGGCAGTTACTGTCTTGCTAGGTTCCCCACAACTTCACAACGGGAGACTGTAGGAGTAAGCTTGAAAAGAAGTTACGTTGTCCCGACAACTCAATTATATCAAGTTTTGATCAACATAAGATCATGATTTTGTCGACGTCTTAGAAACTGGTACCCTTCCCCAGGTTGTACGTATATTAGGTGTAAGAGTAGTTAGAAAAAGGTGTAGATCTTGTCGTCGAACAGATCCGACTGGTGATTGTAACCATGGACAGTCAAAGCAAATCAATGAATAGCTGAAGTTTCATTTTAGTCCAAGTGTGTGCTTTGGGACCCATCTCTTGAGGCGTTAAACCACTAGAAGTTTCTCAATGTCTACGGTGACGAGTGTGTCTTGCTGCAAGGTACTGGCAGTCATACACTTACTGCGGTGAACTCAAAAATTTCACTTGTTAGTTCACGTAGGCTGGTTGGGTAATCAAGGAAGTTGTCGGATCATAATGTTGTTTACACGATCGAACTAGGAAAGTTGTTTTGTTTGTTGTAGAAGTTGACGAATACCGGTAGGATTGGATGTCTTGAAGCTTTTCATAATGTTATGAAAATCACACATAACCACCACACCCGGAATGAAGAGAGGGAAGGGATGGTAGATTCAAGCTTTGTTCGGTCTTTCAAATTGAGATTGTTACGAACAGTGGAGGACAAGCGAGTTTTGGATTCTTTTATCTTTCAAGAGACATAGAATGCCAGGACTAATACGTGAAAATTTGTACCAGAAGTAAATACCGTCAAACAGGAAAAGCGATTCATTGAGATGATTGAAGGCATGAGGGAGGATCCTCCACGATTTATCTCCCAAATCAGGGACTCGAAAGCAAGGATACATAGCTTGTCGCACTTATACGTGAATGAAACGGGAAAGAGGTAGCTAGTGTAGAAATGATAGACCAAACGTATATTACCCAAAGCTTCACCCCATAGTGTAGACAGACTAGCTTAGAGTAGAGTACCCAGAGCGTGAAAACTGGATCAGCATCTTACTTTTGGCTCGCGAGAGTACTCCTTTCGAGCCGAAGTTTGTGTACTATTCGAATGTGTATTTGTCAAAGGTGTAGCGATCCAGTGTCGAGCTCTCAAGAAATAGCTTATTAATAAAGATACAAAAAATCCTTTATCGAATTCAGGTGCTCGTCTCTCCGTCAGCAATGCCCTTCCTTCTGTCTTTGTACGGCAAGGTTAGTACTCGTACGACCTCAGACAGATGAAAGTCACATGGAACGCTAGGGTTGGCAGTTTCTATGACAAATCAGAAGTCACAACTGGCAACGTTCCTGACTTCGTGGAGATCATGCCACAGTGGGCCCATCATTCTCCGCCATAACACACTACGCCTTTTGCAAAAGAACGTAGCAAACTGTCTGCCCCAGGATCTGAAGTCAGTTAGTTCCATGTGCATCGAGACCTATGGTCGTGCAGAAATCGATATAGAATTAGCCAACCACAGCGAGCACGCGCGATTCGAAGATACTCGTTAAGAGCTCCAGAGATGCACACTGAGGAGTGAGCGAGGCTCTCGGATCCTATAGTCCAGTTCTGTAACCCATCGCGAAGTTGGTGGGAGGCTGGGCTCCGTGGCCTTGCAACGCAATGCATCTATAGCATGGCGACCAGTCCCTTGCCCCTCTGGAGAGACTGTACCGCCCCCCTACCACACCAGAATGAGCGCTGCAGTTGCTGACCCCAGCCCCCAACTGTTACTGACCGAACTCCGAAGAGCTCGATCGAAGACGTACGCCCGAAACTTTCAGAGAGAGTAGTAAAAGCCCAAGACCGAGGTCGGATCCCAGGGCGGTGGAGTGAATGAACGAACGAGGTCGTCATCGGCCGCATCGGCCACCCTGACTGACCAAGAGAAGATGGACCTTGAGTGCCGAATCGGTTCTGCCCTGGATCTCACTGCCCCTGAACATGAATGAAAAGGGAGCAGGCAGGCCAAAGCGCACCGGCTCTGCGCGTCCCTCGGCCCCGTGAGAGGCGTAACTCAGGGGTCAACGAGCATGTGGATTCGCTCCGTGGGCTCACAGTACGGCGTCGCGCCCTTTGTCGCTGTCTGATCGGGATTCAGGATTCCGCTGCTTGATAGGCAGCCGCAGTCTGCCACAGTGTGCACATGGGTCTGACATGTCACATGTCCGAAGCAGCGGAGCTCTGCCGTTGGGATCTGCCCGCCAGAGAACAGACGCGCGAATTTGAGAAGCACGTGTTCGGAGGTGGAACCTTTGCTTGGACACTGTGTACTGTATTGAATGTGCTGTACTGTACTTGGAGTCTACTTTCGTGTATCATTTGGGCTGTTCTTGACATGTTCCCCTGTCTTGAAGCCTCTGATCCGAGACAAAGGAAAACATCAGAAACTGCTGGATGATATATATCTCACGAAAAAGATGCTCGCAAAGGTGGGGAAGTTACATGTTGGTTCGAAATCTATGTAATATTTATAGCAATAGATATATGCTCGAATATTACCCACTGCAAAAATCACTGATAATTATTAGAGGTAATGGAGAGATCTTGTAATCTCAATTATATTTTATTGGGGTTGATTTCAATGGCATTTAAAAAAAATATCATATATATTTATATATATAGAGACCAATAAATAAAGATAACATTGGTTGTAAGATGCACCTTTCTATAGATTTTATTCTTCATGTGATCTCTATTTATGATAACAGTACTTTAATATGACGTAAAATAATTAGAAATGAATGTTACTTGTCAAAATAATTTTGAATATGTTAAAAAATTCATCACATACAGAGATTATTCCATCCAAATCATAATGTTTAAATTTTAACAAAAAAAGTAGATGCAACATATCTATGTTAATACATGATGCAAGTGTATTATTTTCTCATATGGAATGATGATTTTCATATGATTAAGAAAATAAAAAATTTGAAAATATATTTGATATAATATACCTATATTGACAATAAAAATTATTCATATTTTTTTCGTAAAATAAAATAATTAAATGTAAAATCAAATATTTAATAATAATTATTTTCTATTTTATTAAGCTTTCAAAATACGAAAATCAATAAAAGTTAGAAATAATAACTATTTATAAACCAAAACTAGATAACAATAGTCTACTATGATGCCATACCAGGTGAGGTACTCCATAACTTTCGATTTAATACTTGGTGTAAGACTTACACCAAGTATTAAATCGACTTACAGTCCACTTACACTGTAAGTGGACTGGCACATTCAGGGCCTTGTTGCCAGAAACCCACACACATGTTCACATATGTAACCCTTGTTGAACGAATCACGTAGTACTTTCATGGTCAATTATGAAAACCTCGAAGGCTGCAAGCCGTGCTGTGGTGATCTCGATGAGGAAGTTCAGGGCTGATCTGCCTGAGTATCTCGTCTTTTGGACACTGATCCCTGGGAAAGTCGAGGAAGTTCAGGGCTGATCTGTCTGAATATCTCGCCTTTCAGACGCTAATCTCTGGAAAAATCGACTACCCACCTCGTCGTTGACAACTGCAGGAGATTACCTTTGAGTGTTTGGCGGTTGACACGAACTTATTTTTACTAGTATTAATAATACTAATACCACTGATTCGATGGAAGCTCGGCCGAGCATTCAGTCATGTACATCAAGCAAGGTCTTTCGAGTTTCAAACACAGACAATCACGGCCTGAAAGCCCGTTAGGCCGTGAAGCCCGTTCGGGTGCTATTCTGCGCGTCCTGCTGAGAAACCGATTCGCTGTTCAATCGTATGTGCCTGAGGCTTACTTGGATGCTTAGGGATGGTGACCGGACGGACCTTATGGACCTGACGAACCTTCGTTTCACAGCACCAATGTTAAGCACAAATCTCCAACGGGGTTGATATTCAGAGGCGTGTAAGTCTAGAACTGCTCGTAGACGAGTCAGTTGTGTACTTCTTAGACAACAACCGCTTTGAATGAAAGGGTTGGTAGAAATGTTAGAGCTGGATGGCGACAGACATACGACCGAGGACCGAGTTGAACAAACAAACAAACAAAGCAGTGTCCTCGGGTTGTTGTATTGTATTGTAGTTCAAAGGACCTTAGATTTGTGACTCAGTAGATATTGATGTCCTCTTGTGAGTTAAAACTCATACGAATCTCCTTTAGAAAGTACTTGCGACTCTTAGATGCGGCCAGGCGATGGCTGTAGACTGCGATCCGAACGGTTTTTCATCAATCGCGTCGTCCGACCTCTTCAGGAAAATGTTTCCCAACATACCAAACCATTCCACGACCCCACTGATTAATGAATCACATGACAGAGATGTTCAGCACGTACTAGAATCATAATCTAAACCGTTCGATCGGCAGCGGGAAAGTAAGATCACTAGTTTGGCAATGTACGTTCCTCGTCCGTGGAATCTCAGCTGTTGGTCAGTTTGCCGATCACGATTCTCCAAATTGTCAAATTGTACGATATCGGTGAACAGCATTCCGAACCAGCGGTGTACGACGGTCCGAAGGGGTCCTAGACTCTGGTTCCCAACCCAAGTTGAATCCCTCTTTTCCCAGTTGCGTGTTCTTGACCTTGTACAAGGAGCAGCCGTGGAATTTTCTTTCAAGGGTGATCAATGACAGGTCCATCGCCGATAGACCTGTCATGATCCTTGAAGTTGTCTCCGATTGACCATCGGAGACAACTGGGGGACACAAGCGTGACAAGGACAAGGGCATGGAAGTGTCACAGTCCATGCTCGAACATTCACCTCGAGTGACTGCCATGCCAATTACGCTGCTGTCCTCAGACACCGTAACCGGCATGCTTAAAACTGGCCGTTCTCGTCACTTTTGAGCATTACCTTTGGATTTCTTTCTTCTGCGTGCGCCGACGGCGACCAAAGGACCAGACGAACTTTATTGCACGAACGCTCGGGGCCTTTGATCGATCGATGTCCGTCTGGCTATTATAAATTATTATGCTCACAGTAGGCCTTGGTATTGTACAGTTTGTGCTCCGGCGGTTCCAGTTTGGGGATAGAGGCGGGGTTGGGGGCGCACTTGGAGACTTGTCTTGAGCTCGGTTTGTAAGCTGTGCTTGGGGCGAGGAGCGAAGAACATCGTGAACTCCTCCTCGGGATCGACCAGCTCCCAGTCGGAATTTTGTACGAGATGGTAGAGAAAGGGTTGCATCACAGCCATGCCGAATTCCTCTCCCGAGCACATTCTGGGCCCTCTGCCGAACGCGATGAAGGAGTAGAGATCGGGATTCTGATTGAACCTGCTCGGATCGAACACTTCGGGTGATATCAAGTTCTCCCTGGGCAACAGGGGACCTGATTCAAACCAAAACAGGCGTCGTTCGCTCTTATCAGCAGCAGCAGGAATTGTCAAACCAACGACCGACGACTGAACATCCTAAAACCTCGACTCCGAGCAGTGCCCGCACAATGCTACTATCTCAAACAGAATGATTGCTCGGCCAAACACACAAATCGAGCTGGACTCACATCAAGAGCCAACTTACCACCCAGCACCCAGCCTTTCGGAATGGTGAATCCTTCGAATTCGGTGTCTTGCATAGTCCGCTTGTTGATGATCTGGAGTACTGTCGTGCTAAGGCGCAGAGTCTCGAGAAGACATTGCGCGAGTACGGCATCTTCCTCTTCAAAGTGGAAGATGTGGTGCCGTGGGCTCCTTGTACGACGATGAACGTGTCCTGGGAAACTTCGGCGTCGGTGGATTCCCACTCTTTCTGCTTTGAAGCTGAACTGTCAAGCTGAACAGATCGAGCAGATCCCGTGCGAGTTCCAAATTCTTCGAGGAGACCCTCCCTTACCCCAAGGAGAAAGGCCGGCATGCTACTCGGCTCTTCACCTCCGTATCTCGGAGTAGATCACTTCGAGGATTCCGTTGCGGGCTTTCATGGCCTTTCCGTTTCGCGTACATGGCAGATTTATGCAGGCCATAATAGGACTCAGTAAGATACACTCCTGATTCATGTTATGGAAGTCCTCTCTTGGTGCACCGCCCAAGGTCAGCTCGAGCCAGATCTTGAAGGTCAGCTCGCGGATCTCGGAATGGACTTTCACAACTTCCTGCTGCTGTCACATCTCGAGGTAGCGAAGAATGCAAGCTTATGTAGATCCGGTGAAGCGCTTGACAGCTTCTGTGCCCAGAAGTTGTTCCATGTACAGCCGGATGTGTCGGAACGTCTCTCCATGGGCCACGACGAGTCCTGGCCGAACACCTCCCTTATGAAACGGGCCAGGACTGGCCGAACAGCACCCACCAGTGGGCTTTGGATCCCATGGCGAACACCGTAGTGGCACCGAACACTCGAGCTCCGACTACATCGCGTTAGAGGGCTCTCCTCTCATCTGTACATCGCCTTAGAGGGCTCTACTCTCATCTGTACACTTCCCTGGACTTCGAGTGTCGGCGCAAGAGTTTATTTAGTCCATCGTAACTAAATGGCTAGCCTAGCTCTCCAAGAGGCGCCTTGCTCAACTTTCCATGCTTTAGGACCCATGTCTTGAGCAAGTAGCCAAAATATGTGTTCCCAGCACAACACACAGACGCCGAAGCTGATACATCTACTCCCCACGACCCCATCCTTCCTACATGATTGCAACTCTCGTTCCAATTGATTGCCAGCAAATTGCAAAACCGATATCGTTTGGTTTCCCTACCTGCGGTCAGTACATTCTTCTAAGCTTTCTTTTTACAAGTTTTTTCGACTCCAAAACTCTATATCTGTTTATGCTAATTATGGTTTTACCCGGAACAGATGCCAAGACTGCATATGAAGATTCAAGAGATTGATCTCAAGTAATAAATCTCGCCAGCAGCTCGCTGAGACGTCCTGCAATCTCCGGGCATCTGAGGTAAACCTGACTCTCACTTAGGTTTACCTCAGATGGCTTTTTGGTAGCTCATTGTAACACTAGGGTTTAGAGAGAAGCTCACTCGAAGATAGAAAGTAAACTCTAAAAATGAGAGATACCAACAATGGTTCTCCTCTACCTTATATAGCTCTCACCAACAAGTACAAGGAGATAAGATCTAATCCTCACCATCTATCCCACTCATAGTGGATGGATGACGTGACGGATAACCCTAACAAGCACACGGATCGCTGACGTGGCGCACCCAACTAACACACTAACTAATACACCCGATCCTTAACTACAAGCACACGGATTGCTGACGTGGCACTGTCAACTAACACATCCACTGTGTACCTACCAAGTGCGCGGATCGCTGACGTGGTAGCTATGACTAGTGCACACTAAAGTATATACATCAATATTAAGAGTAACCTCTATTTTAGTTCTAACTAACTAAAAATGGTTACAAACCTCCCTCCTTTTAAGATGCAACGTCCTCGTTGCACAGACGTTCAAACTCCTGAACTATCAAAGATGCATTTGCTAAATTTTTAGCTGGTTCCCAAGTTGATTCATACGATGGATAACCTTTCCATTGAATCAAATACTCTACTTTGGGATATTTATGACCTCGAATATGTTTCTTGAGCATCTTTTCTACCTCAAACTACTCATGATTTGCTATCAAGGTTGAAAGAGGAGGTGGTGCTGGTTGGTTGGTGAATTGTTTTGGTCGTGGTACATGTTTTCGCAATCGTGACACATGAAATACTGGATGTATTTTCATATGTGACGGAAGTTCCAACTTGTATGACACTTCACCAACACGTTTCAAAACCAAAAATGGACCAATGAACCTAGGGTTCAACTTTGGTGCTCCTACAAGAGACAAATTCGTTGTAGATAACCAAACATGATCTCCAATCTCAAAACCACTTCTCTACAATGAGCATCGGCATGCTGCTTTTGCCGATTTTGAGCTAATACCAACTTCTCCTTGGCCTGATGTAGTCCTCGGTGAATATGCTCCACAAATTCGTTGACTGCTGCAACTTTGGTCAAAAACTCCTCTCATTTGGGAAATCTCATCAAACTTGAAGGAGTTATAGGATGAGCTCTATACATAAGAAAAAATGTAGACACTTTTGTGGATGCATTAACAGAATTGTTATATGCAAATTGCACAAGTGGCAAAAGGTTGTCTCACTCTTCTTGCTCTTCTAATGTGAATGCTTGTAGCATATACTCTATGGTTCCATTTTGTCCATCCGTTTGAGGGTGATAGGCCGTTGACATTGCTAGTTTTGTTTTGAAAAAACTAAACAAAGTTTTTCAAAATAAACTAGTGAAGTGAGTAACTCTATCCGTGATTGACACTTTGTTTAAGCCATGATTCACAAAAACTGCACCTAGATACAATTGAGCTAGTTGTGGAGCTGTTACTATTTTTGTGGTTGGCCTGATGTGAATCATCTTGCTCAATTTGTCCACAAAAACCATCACTGAATCATGTCCTAACGAAGTCCTTGGTAACTCACATACAAGATCCATGGTAACATGTTCCCACCTCTCTTCGCGAATAGGAAGAGGCTGTAATAAACCCGTTGGTTTTTGATTACTTGCCTTGTTTTGTTGACAAGCAACACAACTTCGAACATAAGACTCCACATCCTCACGTATTTTGGGCCAATAGTACACTCGTTGTATACTTTCCACGGTTTTCTCCACTCCCACATGACCTGCAATGGATGTATCATGACTTTCTGCCAAAATCATTGTGCGTAAATTTTGATCTTGTGGAATCCATATACGCTGATTGTAAAACGCCAAACCTCGAGATTTCTCTGCCTTTCCAGTTTGTAGTGCCCGAGTGATCTTTTCATACTCCTTTGTGGCTTGTGACATCTTGCTCCACCAATCTGCTTGAATTTTCACTTCTGCAACATGATCTAAACAAGGCATGCGTGTGAGAGCATCTGGAAGTTGCTTCTTTCCCTCCACGTACACAATCTTCATGTTGAAGCGTTGACGCCACTCTGCCCATCGAATTTGTCGTTTGGATAGATCCTTCTGAGTTTCCAAATAAACCAAGGGTTTATGATCAGTCTCCACCACAAACTCCTTATCACCCAAGTAATGCTTCCAATGTTTGGTTGCCAACACGATGGCTAACTCCTCCCGTTCTGTCGTGTGATAATTTTGTTCCGCCGCCATCAACTTTCGAGAATAGAAAATAACTGGATGCCATCCATCCTCCCATTCTTGTTGAAGTATGCCACCTACTGTTGTACCTGATGCGTAAGTGGCCAACTTGATAGAACGGTTAAGATCATACCACTTGAGAAAAGGTGCGTGTAACAAAACATCTTTCAATGCTTGAAAAGCTAACTCTTGAGCTGTTCCCCATCTCCATTTTTAACCTTTCCCTAACATGGAAGTTAAGGCTTGAGCTAGGCGAGCAAAACCTTTCACAAATCTACCATAGAATCCAGTGAGATCTAGAAAACTCTTCAATTGAGTTTAATCCTCATGTGCTATTCATTTCTGAATGGCATCTATCTTCTCACTCATCACTTGGATTCATGTAGCTGTAACTCTATGACCCAAGTAATCTACTTCTGACTTGCCAAATTCACATTTTGAAGCTTTGGCATACAATTGATTGTCTCTTAAAACTTGATGTAACTCTCGTAAATGACTTCTATGATCACTCAAAGTTTTGCTATACACCAATATATCATCTAGAAAAACAATGACAGATTTATCTAGATAAGGGCAAAAGATATCGTTCATCAATCACATGAATGTAGCTGGTGCATTAGTGAGACCAAAAGGCATCACTAGATACTCAAAGTGTTCATACCTAGTACGAAAAGCTGTTTGTGAACATGTTCATCTGCAATTCGAATTTGATTGTAGCAGCTTCTCAAATCTAGCTTGGTGAAGTACTTCGCTCCTTGAAGTTGATCAAACAAATCAGCCATACGAGGCAATGGATATTTGTTTTTCACCGTTTGCTGATTCAACCCGCGATAATCGATACATAGTCTGATGGATCCATCCTTCTTCTTCACAAAGAGTACTGGAGCTCCATAAGATGAAACACTTGGTTGAATGAATCCCTTGCTCAACATCTACTCCACTTGAGCTTTGCATTCTTCCAATTCGTTTGGAGCCAAACGATATGGAGCTTTGCAAGTTGGTGTACTTCTAGGTATCACCTTAATCTTGTGATCTACTCGCCTCTTTGGTGATAATCCTTCAGGTAGATCATCTGGAAAAACATCTTTATACTCCATAAAAATGTTGTTCAAGGACTCCGGGATGTAAGGTTTGTCCGTGGACCCAATATCTCTTTTAAGTTCAAGGAAATATACATCATCTCTAGAAATGGATGATGTACCCATCACAAAGAGGGTTAAATTCCTATTATGAGATCTAATTCTATTTCCATAGATCTTCCATCCACTACTTGTAATCACTTTTCTTCGGATTATATTGCTCCATCCATGGCATTCCAATAATGACATCATATCGAGCTAAACGAATTACTCTCCATTCAATGCTCTCCTTGTATCTACCTATGGATAATTCTACACTCCGTGGTAGTGTTTCTATCACTTCAGTTTGCCCGTTTGGCAATTCAACTTCTTCACTCACGTACTTCATCAACATCAAACCTAACTTCATAGCAACACTGCTTGATAGAAAATTCTAAGTTGCTCAAGTATCAATTAAAACTCTCACCTTGTGTACTTCCATGAAACCATAAGTGACAATGAGTTGAGCTTGCTTCTTACTCCTTCCATGAGCTCCCAACCATTGCCTTATTCCAACCTCACCTTTTCTTCGCTTTGTAGAATTAGTAAGGCCGCGAGACAAGAGAACTGATGATCTTCGTTTCCGGAAACTGCTTCCTCTATATCTCTTCATACTTTATCCCCTCCATATTGTTGAACGGTCTTCGCTGCATGGGCCGTCCTCCTTGTTGTGTCGGCCGAACTCGACAAAACTTGGCTATGTGACCCATTCGTCCACATGCATAGCATTGACGATTGTCACGAACTCCAGCTCCTCCTCAAACTAGTCCGTTATTTGCATACCCTTCTTGCAAATTTGGAACTCCTCGTCGCCGAATCTCACCTCCAAATCTTGGTGGTGGTACTCTTGTTGGTGCAAAACCTTCTCTACGTTGAAGGTTTCCCAACTCCATCGGTGTTGGACCA